ATCGCGCATCATGTCCGCCCGAAGCGAAGCCGGCGCCGCGGGTCGAGAGCTTGAATCTGCCAGTGCCAGGGGCCCGCGGCACACCAAGCTTTCTTTTCTACGCTGACCGGCATCTGCAGGCAAGAGTCGAGAGCGCTAGTCGTAACGCGAGTCAACCTTAGCACCAGGCCTTTACGGGGATTGCTGGCTAACCGTCGATCATTCTTACCCTTCATAAGATGATTCTACCCGCATGCCGTGATGACTTTTCTTGGTACCTTCTGTTCGAAGTCCTAATCTTACCTTCTTGTGATCCGTCTTTCGTTCCGGTCCAAGGTCCTTCAGTGTGTCGTCGTTGTTGACCACCACTATCCACTCGCTCATCTCTTAATCCGATTATCAGAACAACTTTAATTCCGTAATTCGAACCGACCGCATTCTTACAACATGCACTACTCCGCGGCTCTCGCTGCCGTTGCAGCCATCACTCCTCTCGTCAACGCCCATGGCGCCGGTTTGCCCAACATCATTGGCTTGAACCCGAGGGACCTCCGGGCCCGCGACCTACTTTCTCGCACTGGAGCTCGATTCACCGGTGTTAACGAGCTTCTGCAACCCAAGACTCAGGGTAAGAACAAGGTCGTGGCCCGTCAGGACGACCGCCAGTGTGGTGCGGGTGTCGGCAACTGTCCCGCTGGCCAATGCTGCTCAGGTGCTGGCTACTGTGGCACAGAAGATGACTACTGCTACTCTCCTGGATGCGATTACGAGCACGGCTCTGGCTGCCCCGAGAACGCCACCCCAGGTGGCACCAACACCTCTTCCATCGCCCGTACCAAGGTCGGCAATGTCGAGTACGGTGGCGCTGGTATCTACGGCTGCACCACGCCCGGCACAGTTGCCATCACCTACGACGACGGCCCACAAAAGGTCTTCACCAGCCACATTCTCGATGTCATGGCTTCCTACAACGCCAAGGCTACTTTCTTCATCACTGGAAACAACATCAACAAGGGACAGATTGACATCACTCCCGAGTTCAGCAGTGTTCTCAAGCGGATGGACTCTGAGGGCCATCAGCTTGCTTCTCACACCTGGACCCACTTGGACCTGAGCGCCGTCTCCCAGCAGGACCGTTACAACCAGATGATCAAGAACGAGATGGCTCTTCGCAACATCGTCGGCAAGATCCCCACCTACATGCGTCCCCCGTACTCCAGCTGCACTGCTGAGTCAGGATGCGAGAAAGACATGGCTGACCTCGGTTACCACGTCACATACTTCAACCTTGATACCGTATGCACTTCCTTGATCTCTTGAAAGGGTTCAATTGCTAATATCACAAACAGGATGATTACGAACACGACAGCACCACCCTCATCCAATACTCCAAGGATGTTTTCCTGAGCAACGTCACCAGCGGTCCCGCCGCCAGCAACCAGTGGCTCGAGATTGGTCACGATATCCATGAGCAGACTGCCATGAACCTGACCGAGTACATGCTCTCCACCCTCACTCAGCTCGGATACAAGGCCGTTACTGTTGGTGACTGCCTTGGTGACCCCAAGGAGAACTGGTACCGCACTGCTGGTGGTGCCGGCTCTGGCAACGCGCCCAACCCCGCCACTTCTGCCGGTGCTCCCGCTGCCACTGGAACCAAGCAGGTTACCCCCGATGCTACTTGCGGTGGTACCAAGGGATACACCTGCTTGGGATCTACCTTCGGTAACTGCTGCAGCGCTGCCGGTTACTGCGGTACCACTTCGGCCTACTGCGGAACTGGCTGCCAATCTGGCTTCGGTAACTGCGGCAGCAACGGTGTTGCCCCTACCACCACCACCACCACTAAGGCTGCCACGCCTACCAAGGCTACTACCTCCAAGGCCCCTGTCGCTTCTGCCGCTGGCAAGGTCTCCACTGACGGCTCATGCGGCGGTACTTCTGGTTTCACCTGCGCTGGCTCATCCTTCGGTAACTGCTGCTCCCAGTACGGCTGGTGCGGAAGCACTACTGACCACTGCTCCACTGGCTGCAACTCCGCCTTCGGTACCTGCACTGGCACTGGAGCATCCGCCACTAAGCAGGCCGCTACCACAACCACCAAGGCCGCTGCTGCGCCCACCAAGAAGGCATCTACTGACGGATCATGCGCTGGAACCTCTGGCTTCACATGCTCTGGCTCTTCTTTCGGAAACTGCTGCTCCCAGTACGGTTGGTGTGGAAGCACCACCGGTCACTGCGGTGCTGGCTGCCAGGGTACTTTCGGTACCTGCAACTAAGTTAACCAACTGGTGACTTTCCCTTTCTGTTCCGTTAGAAGTAATGCGCCCACATGAGGGCACGATCTGTACATTTGTATCAACATAGGGCGGCGTCAAGCCTATCAATGACATGACGAGGTCAAAAAAGGAGCGATTCCACGTCCATAACCGTGTTCTCGTACAATGCAGCTTTTGTACTTTATGAGATCAAAACCACTGCACGAACCTGTATATCAGGTGTTGCGAGTAGGCTGGGGACGAGGGGTAGATGTAGAGATTCGCATTATCGAAGCATAAAAAAGCACAAAAATGATCAATACATATTAAACATTCAGCATCTTTCATGGAGTCCCTCATTCGGCCATTCAAGACGAGCTTATCGCAAGATGTGTAATAATGTCGGCTTACTGCCACATCACTGGTTTCTGCACCGAAGGCACTGAGAATATTTGAGCTGGCCAGCGATTTCATTGAGGAGCGAGTGTGTTTAAACTACCACCAAGGAGATACATGCAAGTCGCTCGTGAGAGCCGTCATCCCAGTCTACACCAGACACTGCAGGTCTAATGTTGATGGACCATGTCCCTCCGAACACTCCATTTTCGTCCATTCCCCAACCCGAAATGGGCATCAGAATGTCAGCTATCATCGTTTACTCGGGGCAAAGGCCGTTCTCAGTCAAGAAGTCACCGAGAGCATCGACGCACCCAGCGCAGCCGCAGAGCTGAGTCAAGTCAGTGGGAGTGGGAAATGGAAAGACAATGGGAGGAAATACCGAAGGAGCACCACCGGAAACACAGGCGACGACTGCGGCAACGCCAGCGGGTCCGGTTGCAACACCTGCTGCAATGCAGAAAGCGGCACCGATAACAGCAGCGCAGTCGAAGATGCTGCAGTCGGCTTGCTGGGCAGCGAACTGAATGGCACTGGTCATCTGTTGGCTCTCGCGCTTGGCGATCTCGTTGGGAGCGGCGGCAGCGAGGCCAGCAAGGGCGGCGATAGTGATGGTGGAGAAACGCATGTTGATGGTTTGAGGAGGTGTTGAGCGAAAGGCTGGTAATGTAGTGAAGGTAATGATGTTGTGATGTTGAAGCTTGGTGAGTTCTTTCAGGTCGACTTCTGGCCATCCTTTATACTTTCTTGTCCTCACATGGTCCTCTTTCTCTCTCTATCACCGCTGACATCTACCGGTCAACTCTCCCAGTCCTCTCGAACGCACACAAAGTTATCACTGTCCCGAACTGGGTTACTGTCTCGGGGTTGAGAGCCTTCCTGAGGCTATTACCACATAACTGGCCGTCATTCTGCCCACTCAGCGTTCTGCGACTACTCACCGCAGAGCTTGACTGACATTCATGAGGTGCACACGGTGTTTGTCGACTGGCAATGACGGTGGTGGTAAGCTGATCGCATAAGGCTTGGAGGTGTTCGGGCGTCGAGACACAAAGACAGTGTTCTGGGCGATGACTATGTGCATGCAGTAACCGGCATATGGTATCCGCAGAATAGAACTACTATGATGATTCGTCGTCGTGATGATTTCAAGGACCTTGGCGGGATCAATGTAGTGAAGATCGTCCTAGGTTACACGACAGTTAATATGGCTATATTATTAGGGCTGGCCCGGTCAGACACTTACTAACTTCTTCTCCAGCACATCGTATGTCTTACATCGGCCTGCGGGGGAGGCGCTACTTACCCCGAAACGGTTGTGGCTGGGGAATTTGCTACCGAAAGCGGCCGCAGTAAGGTTGACCGCACATGCTGGCTGACCACTGATTGAAGCCATTTGCCAGCACCAGGCGGTCAAAAGAAGATGGGCTGCTTAGTTATCTTGGCTCTCATGCAGCCAGCACTTTCATGCAGCCAGCACCTACCTAGGTAGGTACCCGCAGCGCCTTCAGCCTCTGCCGTGACTCTAATTCGAATGCCGATCCCATCAAGACAGACTACATCGTCGCGTTATTTCTGCAGAGTGCTCGTATAGAATGCGACTTCGCTGTTGGTAGCTTTCTATTAGTAGAGTGGAAGGTAAATCCTTTCTTCGATCGACATTCACGTTGCATGTCTTGAACCAAGGTGCCAGGCTACATTATCTTATTCTCGGCCTAGATCTTGGTGAGCACGTAAGGGAAGAGGCGTGTAGATCTATCTGAACCATTAGTGGAGAATGGCAAGTCCCGATGTCACCTCAGCATGTGGAAGAGCGGGCAGTCTCTACCTAGTCTTTGAGGAGTCAGAACTACTGTACCACCTCATACAAGGGAAAAACGGAACACCCTAGAGGCTACATTAAGAAGAAAACCTACAAAGTAGGTGGCCTAACGTCGATGTAGGCTCCAGACCTGTTCAGGTTTTCCCTAGGTTAACGTGGTACTCGCAGAATGAGCAGCCCCACGTGTTCGGCTCGTCGCGCACATGCTATAGTTCATTAGACTCTGTACCCTAGTCAACAAGGTGTAAGAAGCTGACTTCAAGCGCTCGGTCCACAAATAAGTAAGCAGATCGCATGCGAGAATACGAAAGCACACACCTTTCTTCTAGTCAGCATCTGCCTAACGCGGTCGGATAGAGATGATCTCGGAAATGCAGAGATCTCAGCATCCAGAGAATACAGTCCTTCAACTGAGACGAGTGGCAAAATCGCTCTACTAGAGCCCCACGATACAGCTATGCGCCCTTGACCCTCTTATGTTCAGCTGTATTGAAGTGGGTCTGCACGTGTAGAGCGATCTATGGACAAACCAGTCATAGTTTCAGTCACATATCGGCGAAATTGTCCTTTGTGGTGTTCATGTCCCATCCTCCATTCCAATACACCTGTTCTGATGCGTAGAAGAACTTGTTTCGTGGGACCTCGAGGTGGACGGACGTGATGTTGTCACTCCACTCCTGGTACTTTGCCAACGCCAGTGCGCGAGCAGGAAACCCAGCGTCTAGCTGCAAGAATACAGTAGACTTTTCGATGGTGTCATAGAACCTGTTACGGCATTTCAGTTTCACCTCCTTGCAAGTAAGGCGGAGAAACCGGATGTCGCAAGAGGATACACCATTATTGTCGATAAACCAAAGGAGGAGTTCCATCGGAAGGTTTGGAAGTGATGCAGCAGGATGTCGCGATGAATCTGGTATTGCTCGATGAACGTAGCGGGGGAAGCCTACTGAGCGGATGACATTCAGTTTGCTCATGCGGTCTACGAGCATAGTGGCGATGGTTTTTGTGTCGTGCTTGGTGACGCAGATGAACTTTTCGACTATGGATCTGCGTGGACCACTCAGCCGGACGATCACCTCTTCGGATCGAACCCGAGGCGTCAAGAAATGGCCCCAGGTAGATCGGCTCTTCCCCCCGTAAGTATAGTCGTCTTACATTCTCAGCACATGCTGATAGGAAGCGCAGGTTGACACCCCCGTCCCATCTCTACACGGCCCTCCCTCGCACGCCAACCTAAGAAAAGCTGAACACCCTGGAGCCTACGTTGAGATTAGGTCACCTACTTTGCAAGTCTTTGTCTTGATGTAGTCTGCAGACCTATTCGGCGCTTTTCTTAAATGAGCTGCTCGTACAGACTGATCCGTGCATTGCCAGCCGACGAGCTCGATGACGATTTCCACGTATTCGTCATCTTCTGCTCCTTTAATGTCCATCTCGTTCACATACTGCCCCATCCTTCCTCTCTCCGCCGATGTGCTCTCGATGCTCTTGCGAAGGGCTTCCTTGGTGCGCTGAGTGACAGCCACACGGGCAAATTTCCGCAGAACGATACGTTCGTCCAACTTTCCCCTGAGTTCCATGATCGCGGCCTCCTCGATACCCCCCATCATCTTTTCGCACTTGCCGATGTTGCGGCTCTCGATGCTGTATACTTCTTCGGGCAAGATGAGGTTGCACTCTTGCAGCTTGTGGTGGATTTGGCTTAGGATGCCGTGTAGGTCGGCCTCGAATTTCTTGTACTCAGGGTCTAAGATGATCATCTGGCGTACGCGTGCGTGGACCTCTTGCTTTAGAGATCTGCCTGGTACTCCGGACGATGCGTCCTTGATCCACTGCAGTTCTGCGAGATTAGCGAACATACAACAGTTGTGTGCGTGAGAGGGCTCTCTTGAGTGGGCAAATTATACTGGAAAGAGAAAGTGCTTACGAGTCGATTGGAGGGCGAGAAGAATTTACGTATGGATGCATCTTCGAGTTGCACGCCACCCAGCCTGAATGAAGTCATGTCCCTTCGGTCGAAGCCATGCTTGTCGTAATGGCGGAGAGTATCTGGGTTGCTCGCGCGGTGGCCGAGTAGCGCCATTGCGTCCTCGCTTGAATACTCGCTCTTCGCTTCCTGCGCCGCCTGTCGTCGGAACGAATACATAGAAAAGTAACAAAGGATCCCGACGGCGAGGCTGAAGTCCTGTAGGTGTTTGTTTAGGGCGACTTGTCGCATTTCTTGATCTGGTATGAGTTGGCCCTTCGTATTAGCCGCGACGAAGACTGCCTGCCTGGCGACTTCTCCTCTGGTTACAGGGAAACGAATAGCGTCGTTGGTCAGCAGAACGTCTAGCGGGTGAACGAACAGGCCGCGAGTATACGCTATGGAAGGTCAGTGTATGAACCTGATTCTCGAACGTCCACGACTTACCTTCCGCAAACAGGAGGGCACTGATGTCTAAGTGGAGGCGCTCTTGTTTGGGGGCAAAAAAGAACTCTCTGGAGCCGTCCCGGCTGCTCTGTCGGTGCGGGTCCTGGTGTCCTTTGTTGAAGCGAAACGTTACCAGGCAAGAGTAGTTTTGTTCGAACCTCTCGAACTTTACGTCGGACCACTGGAGTGTATGAGCCTCAGTGCGCGTGGGTATGCTGTCGCTCATAGCGCCGCCGCGGGGAGCACCCTGCTGGTAGCCCTTGCTGACCGTAATCGAGCCTGGACGGGCGGCGGTGATGTATGCTACCACCCATGCGATATAGTGCTGCTTCGTTTGCAGCACACTCTCTTGGAGTGTCATGACCCTGGCATACATCAGACCCAGCTCGAGCTCGCCGAGTTCATTTCGCTCTCGGCTTCTTGTCAATAGTCCTTGTTCGACGGCGACCATATGGATGTGTCCCGACACACGGGAGTGGTAGTCGGTCTCGATGGATCGGAAGTTGTGCGTATACGTATCGATCCAAAATTGGAGTGCACTTTTTAGCTGCCAAAGGGACCTCGCCTGGGAGGTGTTAGCCTCTATCTGGTGTGGGATTTGGATGTGACTTGCCTCGACTTTGTCAGAGAGTCTACCCTCCGACACCATCGCCGTGCATTCGAGGAAGCCACAGACGTACCCAATGAGGGTCTCGCTTCTGTACATCGTTTCCTCGTCGTTAATCTCGTAGATCGTTTGGCAGTACTGAGAGTAATTGCTGCGGGCTTGCTTTCGACGCGCAATTGTACCAGGTGATTGATGGTCACAGAAGCGGGATCGCGCCGATGTGGCTTTGAGATTCTCTTTCTGGTCATCGCTCAGTGCAGCCAATCGCGCGGCCATCCTAGCTGAAGGGGGCTGGGGTGGGGTAATCAATGGCATCGCGTTGTAGTCGGTCGGCAGACAGTGAGTCGGCAGTGGCAAGCGGGGAGGTAGAAGTATTCGATGTATAGGCTCGGGGTCGCAGGTGCTGTCGATGGGAAGGTACAGTCAAACGCCGAGAAAACGAGGATGAAGGCTACGGAGGACTAGCGGTGGAGAATGGTGAGTGCAGTGTTTGTGTAGGTGAGGTTTGCTTGTCGCGTGGGTTGGGAAGGTGCGAGGCACTGCATCCTACCTCACCTCGCGGCATCTTCTCCCCATTCGCTTCTTCTGCCAATCTTCCGTATCGCTCGCGTGTCTTCTTCGTCTGCTCCGCGTCTTCCCTTTCACTTCTCTTCTCCTTCTCCTGCTGCTACGCGCCTGCTAATCCTTCCACACGCTGCGCGTGTACAGGCCGGCATCTTAAACCTCATTTCGGCGCCTCCATAATTCTATCTTTATCACGGGCTTTGATTCTCTGTTTTTTGTCTTTCGCCGCGTTACGTTCCCGCAAAGCACTATATCAGATCTTACTTCGCATATTCCGCGCCTTCCCGTCCTACTCCAATGTCTAAACATCCCGTTCAGACACTGGCGCAGGACGAGGCGCTCGAGAGCAGCAGCGATGATTTCGAGGAGAAGCTGGAAGCCTTCAATGCTCTGGGGACGAAGGGCAACATGAAGCAATTCCTCGTTGAACTGAACGCCACCATCCCCAGGTCCAAGGACCAAGTACGACTCACTAGAAACGTACCCGATCTAAGGAGTCGGTACTGCGAGTATCTCAGAAGAGTATGATCTTGCATCGCTGCATCTACTCCTCGTCCGCTAACTGACCTTCCTTGCAGTCCGCCGAGTTGCCTGCAACGAACACTCCTACAACACCCTCAGCGAAGCGCTCAGCAGCGGCGCCACAGTCAGCGGCACCAAAGCGCGTGAAGCGTGCAAAGCAAGCAGGAAGGGGCGAAGAGATCGGCGACAAGACCAGCGATGATACCGAAGCACCACAGCGAACGGCTACAAAGCGCGTGAAGCGTGCCACGCGAACGGAAGAGAGCGAAGAGGTTGGCGACAAGACCATTGACGATACCCAGGGCACGATGCCAGGTATGCTCTCGCGTCTGTTTGTGACAGATGCAGTGCAGGTGTCAACACCCATACTGGCCTGTCTCAACGCCTTGGGGTCTCCGCTGAGTGCTGTCGCGGTGCAGAAGCAGGACAGCGAAGACTTGACGACCAGAATTTCTCCGTTGGTTGAGCCCATCTCCATCCTCATCACGGCTCGGGACTCCATCATTCCGACACACAGCCATCTCGATAATTTCGGTCGGTTAGCTGTTGTACTCCGCAAGCACCCGATCACTGCCCCGGCCTACCTTGGATCCTTCCTCGCCGGTCTACACTTCACGCTTGTCGAGAGCCAAGAGGACGCAGAAGAGTCGGGGGACACCAGCGCGAGCCACCAAGAGGCTGCAGTCTCAGCTGAGCTAGACGCCCTCTCAAACGAGGTCAATCGCGCTCTCGACGCATGGAGTTCGAAATCCCCCCCGCCACCTTCCGACTCGTTGTTGTACCCGGTGGACTTTGACAAGGATGAGAGGGTAACACTCAGAGCATTTGGGAGAAAGTACATTACGAAGAACCCCGAGCTCGGCAAGAAGAGGGCGGCGAGAGCTGTCTTGCTCGCTGCCTACAGAGAAATCTTGGCAAGCTGGCCGGTCGGACGAGGAGGGTCGCTGGCGTCGGCAAAGAGCGTGTTGGTAGGGGCAAGGAAGAATGTCGGTCTACTCAAGGGCAAGCCTCTGTCTACCAAGACTCCTGACTATGAGATGGGCGATGAGGAGGAGGACCACGAGGAGGCGCAATACGAGGAGGAAGACGGAGAGGAAGACGAGGAGGAGGAACAGAGGGTTAACCTGCTATCGCCAAGGGAGTAGTGAACCGGGCGCTCTTCAAGCGTACGCGTCTTCGAGAACACTGTTAATTTAGTAATACCTGCATGCTTCTAGTATTCTGGGTTTCGTTTGCGTTGTGAAATAGATGTGTAAGGCTGTGCTGCTGCACAAGGCTCTCCGTGTGGTAGTGTTGAGGCGCTCAGATTTTAAACTGGGTGTTGAAGGGCCGGAAGGAGGAGAGGAACTTGTAGTTTTGCATGGGGGTGTCGTCCTTGATCGCGCGCATGCGTCCCGATATCCTGTTTGTTATGCTGAATGTAGGTTGTACGGACAGAGGCATGGACGACTTGTGCGATCAAGAACGCATGGCTGCGTGTGGGCTGCGGGGCAGGGCTGTCGCGAACTCTGGTACAGTCGCTATCCTGTAGTACTCAGACAATCACTACAAAACTTATTAGCGAAGAGCCACACAACCCCATGACAGTGTCGACGACAGAAGCGACACCTAGAGCCTTGTATCAGATGACAACAAGGACAATGGATGTACAAGTCACCCCAACAGGGCGCAGGGCATGCCGAGGTCAACGTCTATGTTATCAGCAAGCTTCCTGAAGGTGTGTTTCGGGAATAGATTAACCAGGGTCCAGATGGCAGGCGCTCGTGCAGCCGTTCTACCTACCAACTGCAATATTCTGTTCCAACCCGCCAAAACAGCGGTCTTCTTCTCGCAGCACCATCTAAAAAAAATTGTGACTGCTTCTACGCGCTCTTCGCATGGATTCTAGCAGAAAAAAGGGTTCATTTTTGGCAAAAAAGAAGAATGCCTTCCGCCAGAATTGAACTGACGACCTCGTCATCACGTGACGTCCTAATCGGGACTAGCTCCACTCGAATCGAGTCTAGCGTTACTAGTGACGCGCTCTACCACTGAGCTAGGAAGGCGACGATGGAAATTTTTGAAATTGAGGAGTATATGTAAGGCGTTTTCTTCTGCGCTCTTTCTATTCAGGTCAGAACGGGCTGGAATAAACGCAGTAGTAGTGGGAGCACTTGCGCTCTTTCTTTGTGTCGGCCGTCGGAACATCAAACCCACAGCAGCCGCACTCGCTTAGCTTCGGGTGGGGAAGTCACATATTTCAGAAAGAGGCAACACCTGAGGGGCGCGAATAAGTCTTTCTACTGAGCAGGGCGATGGGCGCGAGATATAGCAGTTCAAGGTCGTGTACGTCTCGTGGCGCCCCCTATCCGTCAAGCGTCGCGCTTTGTTGTTCTATAGGCACGTTTGACAAAGGAGGAACACGCTAGCTCTCACTCAGGGCTACTGCTGGTAGCTTCATTTCGCGATGATCATAGTCGGAGTTACTTCACAGCAGCGAATAGATACCCTTGCCACGTAGACTCGTTCGCGAAGAGAGTCGCGTTGGATCAGCGTCGCGCTGTCTTTGTCGAATGAGACGCGATCGCAGTTTCACTGCCAGCGCGCGTGGCAGCGAACGACATCAACACGATCGCATCAGCGACGCAAGCGCATGACATTAGCAAGACATGCAAATATGATGTAAATGAAAGCACGGGGTGGATCTCCGAGTTTGTGTGGAGGTGGATCTGGGGCGGATGACCAGTTAAGCGCAAGCTCATTCACATGCCACCGCGAGCCCGCCAAGGCACCAAATTAAGAAGCTGGCGATTGAGCCTCTCCCGCTGATCGCGTTCCTTTCTGCCAAAACCCCTTCAAACACGACTTCTCCCAACACCGCGACACTTCCACTAGACAGATTTACTGCCAGGCCCCGAATCCTGGCTCCGACCATTACCATTCCCAATATTCCACTACAACCATCTATGGGCTCTGCTTCCTTCGCCGCGACCGCTTTCCTACCCACCGCTCAGCTTACCGCAGTTGGCTCTTTCTTCCCCTACACCGCACTGAGCTCAGGCCTGAACAAGACGGACGCCTCCTTCGCATCGCTGGTCCGGCTAGGGGTAGGAGTTCCGCCGTGAACCCTCGCGGCGGACTGTAATATTGGTTTGCCCAAGACAGGCGTTGGATGTGCGCGAACTCCTCTCCAAAGCGTGTGCAAATGCTGACTTGACCAGAATACGGGCGCAGCTTGGAGAGTGACAACTCTTTATCGCATTACCCCTCACTACCGTTACCATGGTTTTCGCATTTGACCAGAACGATGCCCAACTTCCGGCCAACGCGCCGCGAAACCTTGAGCCTGGCCTGCCCGAAGACGACATGTTCGCTTCGGGACTCATGGACATGAGCCCGCCCAAAGCGCCCCTCCACGTAGGAACCCCGCCGATCAACATCGTGAGCCCTATGCCACAGCGCGCAGTGCAGCCCGGCCCCGAGGGCAAGCAGCAGGGACCAGACAAATTGGATTTCGACGCCGTGTTCAAGAAGGCCCAGAAGAACAAGAAGAAGAAAAAGAAGGGTCTGAAAGCAGGACTACAAGCTACAAGCGTCACCCGGGGCTTTCACACTCCAGTCACGTCTGGTGGGGAGGAGTCGGACTACTCTCTGGCCACTACACCGCGCTTCGGACCTGTGCGCTCTGGACTTCCCAGCGTCACCAGCAGCCCAGCGCTTAGACCCCAATCCACTGCAGGAGGCATCAGCAACCTCAAAGCCCAGCTGGAGGCGCTGAACCTAGGCCCAAGGAGCGATTCACCCATGAAGGATTCCCCGGGAAAGGGTGTCGCTATGAGCAGGGTCACATCGCAGTTGTCGAGCAACACTAGCATGTCTGGCCGCGAAAGTGACAGTGACCGTACGGAGATGGAGAGCTACGAGATCGACCTCAACGCAGAAGATTTCAGCATCGACACGCTCTCCAAGACTTCGACCATGTTGAACAGCGGGATGGCGCGCAAGATGACAGCCGAGGACTTTGAACCGTTGATGTGTTTGGGCAAGGGCAGCTACGGCACCGTCTTGCTGGTCAGGCAGCGCGCGACAGGCCGCCTGTTCGCGCAAAAGCAGTTCAAGAAGGCTTCCATCACCGTGCATAAGAAGCTCATCGAACAGACCAAGACGGAGAGAAACGTCCTGGAGAGCGTGAACCGACACCCCTTCATCGTCAACTTCTACTACGCCTTCCAGGACCAGGAGAAGCTGTACCTCATTCTGGAGTATGCTCAAGGCGGCGAGCTGTTCCACCACCTCGCAGCTGAGCGCATGTTCTCCGAGGACGTGGCCGCTTTCTACATGGCTGAAATGGTGCTTGCGCTCGACCACCTTCACCGCACAGTCGGCGTCATCTACCGCGACCTAAAGCCCGAGAACTGCCTCCTAGACTCCGAGGGCCACCTGCTCCTTACCGACTTTGGCCTCAGCAAAGTCAGTCTTGATGAAGACAGCCCCTGCCGCTCCATCCTCGGTACCGTAGAATACATGGCTCCGGAAGTGGTTCAAGGTCACGAGTACGGCGCGGCAGTCGACTGGTGGTCCTTGGGCGCACTCGGCTTCGATCTTCTCACTGGCGCTCCTCCATTCACCGGTAACAACAACGCCAAGATCCAGGAAAAGATTGTAAAGCAGAAACTCGCACTGCCCTACTACCTCAGCGCCGACGCCAAGGACCTTCTCACTCGCCTCCTCCGCAAAGACCCCAAGAAGCGGCTAGGTTTCAACATGGCCAAGGATTTGCCTAATATCAAGAAACATAGGTTTTTCCGCAAGATCGACTGGAAGAAGTTGGAAGCGAGGGAGTTGGAGCCGCCGATCCAGCCACTCATTACAGATCCGGAGTTGGCAGAGAACTTTGCCCAGGACTTCACCGACCTGCCGCTGAGTCCTGTTCTGACGAAGAAGTTTGACGACTTGATGTTTGAGAGCCAGGCCTCTAGCAATCCGTTTGGAGGGTTCAGCTTTGTGGCTAGCCAGAGCTTGTTGGATAGTGGAGAGTGGGGATATTAGAGGGATAGGAGGAACACTGGCTTTGGTCTTTTTGTTTTCTGCATGCTTGTTTATATCGTTTTTCGAGAAAAGATCGTAATAGAGCACCATCACTACGCGATAATACAGGGTCCAAGATCAATGGTTACTAGATAGAATTGTGTTTTCGTAGGTTGCTGAACCATCTTATTCCAAACTCCGTGCTCGTGCCGTCATCGGTATCATGCGCAAGTATTCATACAGACTGTAAACCAAGTGGGAATCGTTGAATCGAAAGAAATGCCGTTCCAGTCCTCCGCCGTGAGCACTTAAGGTGTTCGTATCTAGGACGTGGGGGCAGCGGCGGCGGCGTAGGACTCGCCGCTCTTCTCGTTGCTACCCTCGGCGGGCTTCTCGCTGCTCTCAGTAGCGACGCCGCCCTCGCTGGCAGGCTTCTGCTTCTTAAGGTCGGCCAAATGCCTAGCCTCGTTATGGACGTCCATGACGGTCTTGTTTCCCTGCTCGTAGAAAGCACGGAGCTTCTGTCCGGTGGGGGTGGAAGCAGCCTTGTCGAAGTAGCTGGTCATCATGTTGAAGGCAGCGTAGCCCTTGTTTGTTATGCCCAACTTCTGGTCGACGACCTGCGCCTTCTGTGTAGCCTGGGTCTTCTGGTCGAAGTTGTTGAGGACGTTCATGAACTTGGTGCTGTAGCCGTTCTGCTTGTCCGCCGCGAGGGCCTTCTCGATGGCCGTGTCGGAGATGGCATAGCCGTGGGCGAGGTACTCAGCGATGATGCGTGCGCGGGGCTTCTGCTCTTGCTCGATGTGGTGGTCGCCGTCCTTGGCGTCGTCGGCGGACGCAGACTTCTCGCCGGCAATCTCGTCGATGCTCTTAGCGGACGTGACCTGGACCGAGTTGTGGCCGAGCTGTGTGTTGTCGAGGAGGAGGGCGGTCTTTGCGGCGGCAGCCTTCTCAAAGGTGACCGAGGCAGACTGGGTGTCGTCGCCTGAGGGCTTTACGCTGAGCGACTGGATCTTTCCGCAGAAGGAGAAGAAGCTCTTGATCTCATCCTCGCTGGTCTTTGTGGAGATGTTCTCGACGTTGACGGTGGCAGCCATGTTGATGTGTGTGTGAGGGGTTTTGAGAGGAGTTTGAATGTAGTGGTATAGTGGTTGAGGGGTGTTGTGAGTCTTTGAGTGATGCAGTGGATAGGGTGTGTTGGCGAAAGGGTCTATTTGTAGCAAGAGGGGTATGCAGCAACCTGCCAGTTCAAGGAGGGCGCAGCCTAGCAACACGCATGGCCGATGACGTACGCGGGGCGGTGCTAGTGGCGTCTAGATGCCCACAGCTGGCGGGAACCTTCACGAAGCGCCTCTTGGGCCGTCTTGCATGTGAATGTCTACCATTGCTTCTTCGTACGTAGTTTATGGCGCAGGCTGTGGCGCATTGTTGCCCATTTCCTGATGCGAGTATTCTTGCGAGCTTAGGAGAAACAGTGGATCGTAGCCCATCTGGCATCTAGAGACTTGGGCTGAAGGCGAGACTCGGAACCCGCGCTACCTTAGCATGTAGAATGTGAATCCATCCTGTCAAAATATTCACGCATCAAGAGTTGTTACAGACATCCACTGTATGTACTGTCGAAAGTGATGCGTGTTAAGAGCTCCATTGCTCCACCAAACCTCGGCTTTAGCAAACGTCATAGCTCCGTCTTTCCAAAACATCTTCCATGAGCTCCGCAGGCTTCCAATTCACATCACTTCTATAGTGTCGACGCCACTCACAATGGCTACCAAACTCATCTCGCCGTCTCCGCGATTAGCGCAGTCATGTCTGCGCCGCACACGACACCTAGCCCCGGCCGCATCGCGACTTCCGCAGCGCCGCTACATCTCCGCATACGGCTACGAGCAAGCCAAAGCCCTCACATTCTCCGAATATGGCGAGCCTCCCGCTGTGCTTTCCCTTCACGGCCATTCCATCTCGCCACCGCATAGCAACTTTATGACATTGCGCTTCCTCGCTTCGCCCATCAATCCCGCCGACATCAACCAGATCCAAGGTGTATACCCTTCGAAGCCGACCTTCACCACTAACCTGGGCACACCCAACCCAATCGCTGTCGCTGGAAATGAAGGAGTGGCGGAGATAATAGCATTGGGCGAAGGAGTCAAGAAGGAAGGCTTCAAGAAGGGCGACTGGGTCTTCATGAAAGGGCCTGGCTTCGGTACATGGCGAACACACGCAAGCGCCACCACGAACGACGTAGTCAAGCTCGACGACCATATGCGCGAAGGTATTACCGCGATTCAAGCCGGCACCGTATCCATAAACCCATGCACAGCATACCGCATGCTTCGCGACTTCACAACGCTCTCGGAAGGCGAGTGGTTCATACAGAATGGAGCAAACTCAGGTGTCGGACGTGCCGCTATTCAACTAGGCAAGAAGTGGGGTTACAAGAGCATCAACGTGATTCGTAGCCGGGAAGACAAGAGCAAGGAAGAGGCCATGAAGAAGGAACTCCAAGAGCTGGGCGCAGACGTCGTCATCACGGATGCAGAATTGCAATCGCAGGGTATCAAGGACCAAGCCAAAGAATGGACGAATGGCGGTCGCGCTCCCATCCGTTTGGCCTTGAACTGCGTGAACGGCAAAGCAGCTACCGCAATGGCTAAACTACTTTCTTCCTCTTCGCACTTCGTTACCTACGGCGCCATGTCGAAGCAGCCTTTGACTATTCCCGCGTCGATGCTCATCTTCAAGGACATCCACTTCCACGGCTTTTGGGTAAGCAGGTGGGCGGAGAAGCATCCCGAGGAGAAGCAGAAGACCGTTGCTGATGTACTGGATATGACGCGCAAGGGCGAGTTCAAAGATATGCCTGTTGACGAGATCAAGTGGGAGTGGGATACCAAGGGCGACGAGCTGATAGGCAAGGTCAAGGATACTCTGGAGGGTTACAGGGACGGCAAGGGAATTTTCGTGTTTGGTAAGACGTAGACTTTGTAATGCTCAAAGTTGTATACGATCTATGATATATGTACATACGTTCAATTGCCGAATCGTGAGACTATAGCACTGTCCACCGAGGCTCTACTGCAAGAACACTCTCGATCCGTTGTTAGGCAAAGGCGCCCTAAACAGCACGAAGGGTCTCACTCTATCGTCCGTACCAGGATAGAACGACGAACTGAAAGCAAGCTGGTTGTCGGTGAAGTAAAGATACCCATCGCTTCCAACGGACACTGTAACAAGTCAGTTTCTCATCCAGACATATCTAGCTCAATGAAATGAAGACTTACTAGTATCAACCCAACTAATCCTCGGGTCCCTCACAAACAACGTCATAGACGCATTCTTCGGATTATGGAACCCAATCTCATTCTGTTCCATATTCCCCGCATAGATGAACCCATTCGTATCCGTCTCAAACCCATCGCTCACACCCCTCTCACCCCGGTTATTCACCGCACCCAGCGCCAAGAGCTCAGACGCCTGACTGCGGTCCCGCAGACGTTCCGTGGGAATACTGTAGAGAGTGCGTCCACCAACAGGACCAAAGTACAGGTGTTCCCCATCAGCAGACAAGGCGATACCGTCGCTGCCTAGCGGAACGGTGGTAAGTGGTAGACCAGGACCGGGGATGTAGTATTTCGGTTCGCCCCAGACGTATGGCACGAATCCACGCTCCGCTCTTGACTCTTGTGCGCCGTCGAGGTGGCGCCAGCTCTCGCCTGTGCCTAGGTCTACAATGACGATTCCATTGCGGCCCTCGGATGAGGAGTCGGTGATGTAAGCGACGCCCTTGCCAGAATCGGTGATGTGAGGACGCAGGTCGAAGCGTACGTCGTTGAGATACGAGTCTGGGTATGCGACTGTGGGTGGGAAAACGATAGTTTGAATGACCGTGTCGGATTCAATGTCTACGCCGATGAGCTTGGGACCGCCAGGGGATGCCAGAACGAGGGTGCCTTCTTCGGTTAATGCGCGGCCTGTGTCCAGGATCCAGAGTCGGTCGAGGGGATCGAGGACGACGCTTTGGACGCCGATGAGGTAGTCCTGGTAGTTTGCGCCTGTTGGTGGGGTGGTCGTGTAGTTGATGGCACCGTTTGGTGGGTTGTTGATTTCTACGCTTGGGTACGGTGTTTCGGTGCCGTTGGAGGTGAGCTCTGCTACGGCATGTCTGTTGTTGGTGCCTGTGTTGGTGTTGTTGGGATCAAGACCTGCTGGGTAGTTTGAGAATTTACGACCGCCTTTTGAGACGGTGATACCTGGGACTCATGTTAGTTGTGTGTTTGTGAGAATGCTACGGTGTGTTTGTACCGGTAGGCCATTGATCGTTGTAGAGATGGACAATTTCAAGAGGTGGGCCGGCAACACCGGGGTCAGAACGAATGCGTTGTGCGCTGGATAGCGCAGGGAGCAGAGCGCTCAACGTCAATACTGAAAGAGATAGCATGTTGGACACAACGACAATCTCATGGCGGAAAAAGAGGGCAGCATGATGCTTGACATCACGGTTTATATAGCTTCGACTATGCAAGCGCGAACTGTAAACATTACCTCACAGGTACCTGAACGTCAGTTTGCGGCTCGGCATTCTTAGTCTTCAACGTCATGAACATGTCAGGTACCAGGATAAAATTGAGGAGCTATTGACCTCGGGACGATCTGACGTGGATTTGAGGCTGCACGTAGGGAAGCTATCCGCTTGTGGCCAAGTCTCTCGGCGGCTCACCCCGCTTTTGCTGGGTGCAGGTGTGATGCAACGCCATTGGCGCCATGTAATGCACGTTGCAGATGGTAACAGTTCCGCCTGATCTGACATGATCCCTTACGGATGTACGTTTACTACTTTTCCTTCCAACGTTGTCTAACCAACCCACTCTTTGATGACTTCTTTCAGAGAAGCATTGTCGCCTGTCTCACTCCAAGTATGCGAGTGCTCACCGTCTTCTGCTTCCGATGTTGCGTCAACCGCCAGCATAGTTACCTTTAGCTCTCCATTGTTGAAGTCAACTCTGATGTCTCTTGTAGACTTGGTGCCTTTCTTGGTTTCCTTGCTTTGACGAATCGAGAGCCGTGGATTCTGAGTTCTCGTCTGCGCGCGCGAGGCATACTCACTCTTCAAAAGTCTATGCGCAATATGTAGGGACAGGATCCAGTCTAGATACGACTTCAGCTCCTCGACGGTGGCAAATTTATGCTGCTGGAACAAGCCAAGATCGGAACTCAGAGTGGATGGAAGGGTCAGCTTGTGCTCTGTGCCAAACGTCGGTTGACCGATGATTGTGCGTGTAACGACGACCAGACTCTCTGGCTGTGTGCCATTCGGGGTGGGTATGGTCAAAGTCGCTTTTCCATCGAAAGGCTTCATGAAGATTTCAAGCAGCTGGTCGGTGGCGGACATGCCTTTCTTTGGCGTCGTCTTCAAACTCTCCGAAAGGGTCGCCCAAGACGTCTCACGTGTGGTCTCCAGACTCGCATCAAGGCCTGCGTTGTTCAGTGTTTTGGCGACGAGACCAAGATAGACGTAAAGCGAGTCGACACCTGCAATGTGATTGGATACCGCAAGAAGCGTACGCAGCAAAGGTGGAGGAGGCTTATCCCGCTTTTGGCCTGTCAATGGAGGTGGAAGCTGCGATCTTCGATAGAGACGCATGCTGTGCTCGTGCGCTAGGAGCAGTCGGAGCGCCTCGGCGATGTTGCGAGCCAGCCAATCGTACTCATGCCCTTGGGTGCTCGCTATAGGATCGTCCCGGGGTATGCAATCGATGAGCAGCTTTCGATCTTGCGATGCATTGCCCGTGCTAGGCACGTCTATCTGAATGACAGAATCCCGAAATTCGACACCGTAGGCTCGCAGTTGCCGAGTTTCGAGACTCATTTCGTAGTACAGCTCTTCCTCTAGTAATGAATCACGGGCAAGTTGTATAGACTTTTCCAGAGACTGAGCGGAGTTTTCGCCGTCGAGAGGGAGTTGTGATGTGCCTGTCATCTTACCGTCGACACTGATTCGCACGCGGAATGTCTTCGGTTTGAGCGCGAGACTCGGATCGAGAATGATGCTGCCGTCCTTGTCCATCTGAAGAGGAGCGAAGCCACGCGCTTTGAAATGGCCACTCGCTGTGGTGTTGTTAGCTTGATAGATGTGACGCGACGAATGACGAGTCCTTACCTTCGGGAAGTCCATAACGCACGGCAAAGGGCGAATGGCGTACATTCTGGCGCAGTCGCTGAATGGGCCACCCCTTGTCGGAGACGGACACTATCTCATGCCAGTACTTTGTCTCTCGGCGTATCTCCTTCTCCAAATGTTTCGCAGCCTTCAATATCTCGTCTACCGAAGAGTCGAGCGCCCCCATGCGTGCTCCCTGGGCAGCTATTTCTTGTTTGGACGCGAGATCTTGAAGTCGTTGTACCTCGTCTGGCTTGCGAGTGCGATGTTCGTGGTTCTCCTTGCTCATGCCGAAAGAGCCGAGTGGTATGCCCTGGTTTAGGCCCTGCTCTCGAAACGTCGGACTGAAGAAGTTGAGGGCGCGTTTGTTTGGGTCTTGGGAGAGGATGAGGGAGACGAGATCGAGCGCGTTGGTAGCAGCGAATTTGGCCCATCTATCTTTGGTCAGTACTAACCCTCCGTTATGCGCGTTCGCGTTCAAACGTACTCCAGATGACTATACATCTCCTGCCCGGCTTTGAACACCTTCTCTAGCTGCTCCTGCCGGGAAGGCACTTCCTTTTCCTTCTTCGCGTTATCGGCTCCCTCGGCAGCGTCGTCTGGTACATCTTTGCCCGCGTCAATGTCCTCCTGTAGCGACTGTTCGGTGATGTTGCGCAAATGCCCGCGTTCGCTCGCTAGCTGCTCGATCTTGAATAGCAGGTCATCCTGCGTCAGCTCCTCCTTCTTTGGGGCCGGCCATGGGCGCAGGGCCACGTTGTTCAATGATGACTCCATCTTGACTGCGACTCTGGAGGCAGCCGGGTAGCTTGGGCGAAGCTGGCTGGGTTCCTGTGGTTTGTCCGACACGGTGGGCCCTTGCATAAAAGCCGTCCCCCAGTAGCGGCCGTTGCAGATCGCCGCTTATCGATTGCGGCTTCACCCATGCAACCCACGAATGGCACACGTTGCACGCGCAATCGTGGATCAAAAGCAAGGTAGCTGTAGCTTCGTAGAGGGGGAACAAGCAGCTTACAGGTGTTAGTGTACCGTCGCGCGGGGATGTCACCGGGTCACATGTGCATGGCCCCTTCCCTCTCCAGCCACTAACGGCGGTCTCCGATAAGCTTGGACAGACAGCTTAGGTCACGGTGACAACTCACAGTCACAGTGTCCTTCACTTCTCCTCATTCCTCTTTCACCAATTGAGAATTTGCAAGATGACTACTAGATACCGCGTAGAATGTGAGTCCCAACCACGGCGACAATTCCCAAATGTCGACTCAGAGACAAGGCCGCTGACTTGATGGTTTCCCGTGTGGCAGATGCACTCAAGGTGTGTCTAAGTTACAGTGACAAGCATCTACCTTCAGATAACTGACATATCCCGAAAGACCCACAGGAGAGACCAGCTCGTATGTATCCTGTGATACCGAATCAGAATGTCTAGCTAATACAAGATACAGATAGAGTGGATCAAGGTAACGCTCTTCCAGCTTGCAAGCCAATGCGAGCAACATACTTACACTACCCTAGGGTCTCCTAGCCGTTCCTTTCGTCTTACACTCCCATCCAACAGCAGTATTCGAGCCCAGCGATGAGTCAGTCGAGCACCAAGCCAACATCGCTCAACGGCGGTATGCCGAGATCTTACGCGACGTTGAAGAGATCATCAACGACCACAGTATGTCATGAAGCCATTGAAGCCGCGCGAGTTCGGGTGGTCTACGGTGAAATCGCAGGGCTAACACAACTTAGTCCAACATCAGAAAGACGGCAAACCCGACAGATCAAAGTTGAAGCTTCTCGTTCCAACAGTAGCGAACTTCTTCACGTCCTTAGCATTGCATGATGCTTTCATCTGGCAAGATCAGCGGCGCTTCATCAGCCACCGACGTTTCGTTCCCCCTTCTTTCAACGATGTGCGTCTAGTTCTCAACACAGCCCAAGTGATGAGTCTCATCCGCAACGGTCCACTCGAACTCGTGACGTTTGACGGAGATGTCACCTTGTATGACGACGGCAAAGACTTGACAGAAGACAACCCGATCATTCCCAAGATTCTGCAGCTCATGCGTCGTGGATCAAAGATTGGCATTGTCACAGCCGCAGGGTACACAGAGGCGAAGCCATACTATGGCAGACTTTACGGGCTTCTAGACGCCATCCAGGCATCCGATCTGCCCCTAGAGGCTCGACAGAATCTGATCATCATGGGCGGTGAAAGTAACTTCTGTTTCAAGTTCGACGAGAACAGTCCAGTTCTACTGCGCCTGGTTCCCCGAGAAGAATGGCTGCTTAAGGAGATGCTTTCGTGGACTGAGTCGGACATCAAGGACCTGCTTGACTTGGCGGAAGTGTCTCTGAGGGACACTGTCAAAAACTTCCGCATGGAGGCAAATGTGGTCCGGAAGGAAAGAGCGGTTGGTATTGTACCAAAGGATGGGCACAAGTTCTGCCGAGAGACACTGGAAGAGACCGTTTTGATCGTGCAGAAGATACTCGTAGGTTTGAGACCATGTGCAATGCTTGCAATGCTGACGTGGCTAGGAAATATCCGAGGTCGGCCAGCGTCTCCCCTTTTGCGCGTTCAACGGCGGAAACGACGTATTCGTCGACATCGGCGATAAGTCCTGGGGTGTCCTTGCCTGTCAGCGGATCTTTGGCGGGATTGAGGGCAGCAAAACATTGCACGTTGGCGACCAGTTCTTGAGTGCTGGGGCGAACGACTTCAAGGCTCGGTTGGCATGTACGACGGCGTGGATCGCGAACCCGCAGGAGACTTGCCAACTGCTCGACGAGATTACCGAATTGGACGAGGTGCATCAGCGAAAGACAAGATGAGAGTGGCCCGGATCAGGTTGTGCATAGCGATGACATCAGGGTGCTTCGGAAGCTACGGCAATAGGGGTCGTCAATGTGGCGGATAAACTTTGGAGGGGTACACGGCTGCAGTGCGTGTTTGAAGCATGTCGCAGCGAGAGGAATATGGGCCTAGATAACCGTTGAAGATCACAGAAAGGGTCTCAATCAAATCGATATGCGGAGGCAGATGGCGACATGCGATGCGCGTCCGGCACGGCTCTCCTGCATTATGCCTTGACGCTGACTCGGGTGGCTGACCCACTGCATTCTCTGGTACAATTGTCGCGCTAGAAGCTCGAAGGTGACGCGCTGCAGGCACGCATTCATGCAGCGCTGCACGACGGTTGCTGACGCGCGCGTGTTTTGTCAACGTCGTATTCTTTTTGTCCCTGGGGTCGCAGGCAGGGCGTGTCCCTGGGGAAGGTCGAGGCTGGCGCGCCGTATCCGCAGCGCCTCTGGGTGGTGCAGGGCGCTGATCCCTGCTAACCGTCGTGTAATCCCTGGCCCGTACTCCGCTTCACGAAAGCACCTCCTGAGCTTCCACCCGCCTGCGGCTTCTGCGAGACTCTCTCATCTGCTGCCGCGTCGCTCCCAGCCTTCAATTGCCTCCACTCCACCGCACCTTGGGTTTATTGATCGCCCACCGCAATTTACCACACGAGTCTCCCACCACGACACTGCAATGGGCTCCAACAAGTTCTCTTTCAAGCCACTGACGCTTTCGCCCATCAACTTCTCTCTGACCGAGGGCACGTCGATACCCGCGCCGCTCGACAGCCCGCCCGAGTCACCTCGCCCGCCCACGCCTGGAAAAGGCCCACTGTCGTCGCATCCCACCCCAAAGTCGCCTGGCTCCCCGCCGCAGACAGAGTCGCCGCCTCCGGGCAAAGCGTCAGAGGACTCGGCTGATGGCCACCTCCAGCAGAGCCGCACCAGCGATGCGACCAGCGCCATGTCCCCCACGAGCCCTTCGAGCAAGCGGCCTGCATCCGTCCGCAAGTTCCTCGGCATTCGAACGCTATCGTCCAACGACAGCTTGAAGTCGGACCAGAGGCCGGGCTCGCCGGCTACAATCAACAGCCAAGCACCCAGTCTCAGCAGGAGGAAGAGCGGCAGCTGGTTCGGCAAAAGGAAGACATTCATCTCCGGATCTGTTCCAGAAGGCACTGTGGATTCCACGACCTACTCGAACGGTCGCACCGTCTCTCAACCTGCCGTACAGGCTGCGCAACCACCCAAGCCCAAGGGCCCACCGCCTCCAGCTCTGCCCGGCCTGAGCTCCTTCGGTGTCAACGAAGACACGCTGAGTCTCGGCGCCGACGACATGTTCAAGAACATAGGAAAGGCAGACACGCCAAAGTCGACACGGTGGTAGACGCCTAAAACACACTTTCAACGGGGGCATGTTGATGATGCATTTCTAACGGGTTTCGAGTTTAATGTCCTTATTGTTTATACCTTTCACGGGCCACAGGTTGGAGTTTTGAAAATTTGTGGCATCATTATTTTGGCTTGCATGTGCACAACGATACCCCAGTCGATACAGTATAGCGATGAAGTGGCACGTATGAGTGCGTCCGAGATGAGATCTTGTGGCGACTGGGGAGGACGACGGGGTTGGCAGCCTTCCTTTACTCTGGCTTTACATATCACTACCTGCTAGCGTTCCCTTCGACAGTGCGTCTTTGGCCATGGCATCTCTCGCCGCCGGTCGCTATAAATAAACACTCTTACCTTACTACCGCCTCCACCTGCCTCATATTTGAGATAATCAGACGTCAACAATGCAAGATACGTACCCCACGTGGCGCGGACCAGGCGCGTTGCTGCGGTGGGCTAGCGCGAAACCCTGATCACAACAAACATTGCATAGGCGGGTACGGGTGCATCAACACCAGCCCTACCCCCCTCGGCCTCCCGCCTTGCTGACCCGCGACGTCGCGAACAGACCGACAATCGCTGCATAATTGTCACAACACATACTATGGCCGACCCGGGTATGTTCTCGGTGCGCCGTCAGGTCAGTCTAGTGTGCGACCCCCTCTCGTCGCATCTCCTAACCACGCGCGCAGACTCTAGGACCAGTAAACAACAACTCCTCCGCGATTCCCATGCCCGCTTCCGCCATGAAGCGCTCGAGCTCCATCAACAACATGAACCAGCCCCAATTCCCTCCGAATCATGCCCGGTCGAAGAGTGGGAGTAGAATGTCCCTCGCGCCCGGTCGCCCGAGCCAGCCGCTCTTCCCACGCTCATCCTCCGGAACAGACCTTGCGCAAGGCTTCCAGTCAGTACATCGCAATTCAACTAGCAACTTCGGCGCAAGCAGTGCGCGCAAGAGTTTTGCGCCTGGCGCCTCCATATTCCAAACGCCTGCTCCCCCTTCAGGGCCGAACTTCGAGCAGAGCGCACAACGGCGGAGCAGCGTGTTCAAATCGCGAGCCTCGCATGTAACTGGACAATCTGGTGTAAAACAATCCTTCTTCCAACAGGCGCCCATGCCATCCGTCCCCCCGACGGACCCGCGCCGACTCAAAGATGCGAGCACTCGTCAGCACATGGCTCAGGAGCTGCTCGAATTCCTGACCCAGAACAACTTTGAGATGGAATCAAAACATGTCCTCTCAGCAAAAGCCATGACTTCGCCAACGCAGAAGGACTTCAACTGCATGTTTCAATGGCTCTACAACCGGATTGATCCCAGCTATCGCTTCCAGAAATCAATTGATCAGGAGGTGCCAGTACTGCTGAAGCAGATGCGCTACCCGTTTGAGAAGTCGATCATGAAGTCCCAGATCGCGGCTGTTGGTGGAAACAACTGGTACACATTCTTGGGTCTTTTGCACTGGATGATGCAATTGGCACGCCTGATGCAGGCTTATGAGGCCGGTACATACGACGACGCTTGCTTTGAGGCTGGCTTCGACGTCTCTGGAGATCGCATCATCTTTGACTTCTTGTCAGACGCCTACAGCACTTGGCTTTCCGCAGAAGATGATGATGACGATGAGGAGGCACAGAAGAAGCACATGGAGCCTCACATCCGGACAATGGCTGCCAAGTTCGACGCCGCAAATGCCCAGCATCACGAGCAGGTCGCCCTCCTTGAGGCCGAGCACAAGTACCTGCAAGATCAGATCGAAGAACTAGGAAAGTCCGGCCCCCGGATCCAAAAGCTGGAGGAGCAAATCCGCATCCTCGAAGAAGATCGCGTCAAGTTTGAGAACTACAACAACTCCATGGACTCCAAGGTGAAGAAATACAGCGACCGCTGCTCCTTCTTGGAGAAGTCCATTGAAGAGATTGAGGCAGAACTTGAGGCCTCAGAGAAGGAGCAGCAAGAGCTCCAAGCTATCATTGACGGTCGAGGCATGACCATTGCGGATATTGACCGTATGGCAAATGAAAGGGACCGCCTTGATACTTCTCTCCAGGCAACGACAGTTCGTTTAGAGGAGTCTAAGAAGCGGGTTGCAGAGAAGGAAATCGCTGCATCTCGCAAATTGGATGAACTCGAACAAACGATCGAGCGATACAACAATCTGGGCTACCAGATCGGGGTCATCCCTTCTACGGCTGTCAATGCCAAGGGGCAAGACTACGAACTTGTCCTCACCATCACAGATGGCCCCAACTTCTCAGGGTCACAAATGGGTGGCTCCTCACAGGATGCATCAGACCGTCTTCTTCACGACGCAGGCACTGGATACTCACCAGCACATCTCCTCAACCTGGACCTCCGTGGCACAGTAAAGGCCAACATCATCGCACTCCGCAAGGAGATTGCCGAACGACGCAACCAAGCCCTAGAAGCCGACATGAACAATCACGATCTTCTCGACAAGATCAAAGAAGCCATGGACGACAAGCAAGCCGAAGTCGAAGCTCTCGGCCACCGTGTAGCTCAAGCAGAGGAGGAGCTAGAAAAGCTCCGCGAAATAACAAACACGCAAAAGAGCCAATCTGACGCACAGATTGAACGCATGGAGAAAGAACTGGGCCGCATGCGTAGCGGTCTGGGAGAAAGCGTCCAACTCATGGTACAACGAGAGATGGCCGTCAACATCGAGTAAGTTCTTTACCCCTTCCCCTCGTTCAACTTTCTACGACACAAAGCTAATCATCTACATCAGGTACGAACAACTCCAACTCCGCGCCAACGCCCTCCGCGAAGAACTCCACACAGAAATCGAGCGCATGCTCGACGACATCGTACGCTTCAAACTCCACGTACAGAAGAGTTTGGAGGAGTACGAGCAGTTCATCGCTGATGAAGTGGAGCGTAGCTGCGAAGAGCAGGACATGCTCGCCGAGGGCGAAGATGAGGACATGGTCGAGGAGGCGTAAAGCACGTCATTGACAACGTTGAAACGAGCGACGGGTTAACGAGTTGGCTATGAGCTTATGATGGAGTTTCTGGTGCTGGATACCACGCTGATGTTGACTGGGAGTTTACAGAGTGAACTTTTTGGCAGGGTTGTTTTTACGGATACCTTTCTGAGATACCTCTTGGCTTTTTTGTTTAGCTTATTCGGTTGTTCGTTGTTTACGATTATATATGTAAATCTGATTATCCTTGCATATCTTCATATTCTTCTTCGTACAACAGATGGGCATACAACCCCTTCTCATTACCCTAACACGCATCACTCCACCCCACCAGATTATCTATCCACTACCCCCCAATCAACCCCCTCCCACTCGTCATCATCATATTACTCAACAGCTCAACCTGACTCTTCAGCGCCGCCATCTCAGTCGTCTTATCCTTGATCTCCTTCGCCCTCTCCGCCAACTCCGTAGTCTTCTCTTTGACCTGCTTCGTCCGCTCCGTCAACATGCGTCTTAGCTCTGCATTCTCCCGCCTCAACTGGTCGACTTCTATATCGACGGCCTCAGGAGGATTCGGTGGTGGCGGACCGCGAGTATCGAGCAAAGGATCGATGCGTGAATCTTTTCGGACGAGTGGGAAGGGCGCGGGCGGTTTGAGGGTGTGGGAGGTGGGGTGTTGGTATGTGTTTTGCAGGTGGGGAGCGGGTCGTTGGATCGATTGGTTTGTGCTGGTGTCAGCGTTGAGTTGTACGGTATCGTGGATGTCGACTTCGGCTTCACCCTCAGCCTCGTCGTCTGAGCTGTTGAGGCCGTCGCCGACTTGTTGGCCTGCTGCTTTTCGGGCTCTCTTTATCTGCGCTCGGATATTGTATACGTCGCGCTTGAAGATGTGTATGCCCGGAAGTCTTGCCTGTAGCACTTCGACTGTCCTTCCGACCCCTCGGTCGCGGCCTTGGTTGGGCTCGCCTTTCCGTAGCATCTCTTGTTCGACGATCCTCCACACGAGCCCGCCACGCTCGAGGCTGTGTTGTGGCTTCTTCTGTGCCTGAGTAGATGCGCTGGGTATGTCTTCGTCGCCGTCGGCTTCCGCGTCCACATCTTCGAGGGTTTCCTGATTTTGCGTCAGGCTCGACTTGGCGAGTTCCTCCTTCGCTGTTACGCCTCCGACTCCGATGCGCCCTCCTACTACGCCCCATGTCCTCTTCCGTTGTACAGCCCATCCAGCACTCTCGCGCCCAGGGTGGTTGTGTTGTGGTTCGCCCACGCGCAAGAGCCATGTGCCGTCATCCTGTTTCTTACCCTCGATCCACATCTTGCACCCTGTCTTGTAGCTGACCCTGTTCTTCCTGACCCTCGTCTCGGCCGTAAGTTTGTGGGTGTTCTTCGGCTGACCATAGCAGACGCAGGCGAGTTTGATGCGTGATCGGTTCTTAGCCGTCGTATTGATAGACAGAGCGTATCCATTCTCCGCGGCGTGCGACTGCGCGTAATCGTGGAGGGATTGCCACGAAGGGTGTATCGAGTTGGAAGGCGGGAGCATAGCGAACTGACGGTCGGACGCGTCATTGTCTAGGGGTGCTTGTACCGAATTGTGCTGGATGCCGATGTAGGATGCTTCGGATGTAGGGCTATGGATCCTGTAGTCGTGATGCTGTCCGGCTAAGCCATGCTGGAAGCTTTCGCGCTTTGCAGCAGTGTCGTCTGGCGAGTAGCTGTTATCGTGCTGTTGCCCGTGGTCGTTCATACTGGCAGCATGTTGGGCGTTGGCGGTGGTAGGCTCGCAATAGGCTGCCATGTTGCTGTGGCGGGCTGCGACATGATGATGCGACGCGGCATAGGCATCGTAAGGCGGCTGTTGGTTCGCGATGGCGTTACCGTGATTGTACGTGGGGACTTGGTCGAAGTTGTGATGGCGGGCGAAGGTGGCTGCCATGGTTGGTTTGATATGGAGCGCTCTCGCCATGTTCCGGATTACTTCAGCCACGGCCGTTTGTCGCTGTTGGAGATATCCGTCAAGTCTGCGCACATGGCGATTATCTCCAGAATATGAGCTATGCGACTTTGGTCAATGCTGCCATATTTGGGTGGAGGGTTCCCAGGCTCAGACATATTCGTCGCTGGTACGTCGCTCTCTGCGCTTCAGCCGATTGGCTGCTCGGAACTCGAGCATCAATGTTGCCCTCACAACCAAGCAAAGCAAAACGCGTCAGAACATCATCCCACTATCATTTTGACTACGCCAGACGAGGCGTGCGACGGATGCGCCCATTGCCTATTTAATATACCCCACGGAGACCGCAGTAGCCTTACTCTCTTAAGGTGACATCCACCCACATGTCCTTGATCTCCCATAACCCAAGCGAGTTGAACGTCTTCCATGGTTCCAGCGGGTTGGTCAACGACAGATCAAAGTGCCTCAACAACTCAAAGATGCACTTGTGTATCTCAATCAACGCGATGTTGCGTCCTAGGCAAAGCCATCGACCGTACCCAAATATCATATCGTTGGTTTTCGTCATTCTGGTTAGACGGTCTTTCGCCTCCTCGTCGCTTGTCTCAATCAGCCAGCGTTCAGGACGGAAGGTACCACAGTCTTCGCCGTAGAGAGCGCGGTTGTTGCGGTGCATCGTCCAGGCTGAGTAGCCGACCAAGGTGCCGCCGGGGATGTGATACTCCTTGTTATCGATAGTCACGATATCTCCTTCATTCGGAGTGACTCTTGAGAAGATGTTGGCGACTGGTGGATGTATCTGCAGGGTGTACTGTTAGCGCATACTGGCTCAAAGATCCTTGTTCTTTCCAGAAAGGACGAGACGTACTCGCATTCCTTCACGGACGACAGCGCCTAAATATGGTAGGCGGCGCACCTCTGCATCTGAGATGATGCCAGGAGATGCGGGAGCCGTGCCGCTTCTGATGGCTTCATCTATCTCAGATTGCAGCTTTGCATACACGCGCGGATGGCTCATGACATAAAGCAAAATGGTCCGAATGGCAGCAGCCGTAGTGTCAGATCCAGCGAGAATCTGCTCGAAGACTTCTTGGACTAAGCATGGTAGATCAGTCGACGCCCAGCATCGTGGATTATAACACTCATGTCACTTACAAAGATCGTTTCCAGAGAGACCATGGCGGACGAATGACGCGAACATATCAGACTTGTCTTCAGTTGACTTCAACATCCTGGAGTCGACTATCTTTCGTGCTTGAGCCATCATGTTACCGAACCCACTGGCATCCTTCTCCGATGGACTGATAGCGGGGCCGATGATGGGCGTATCTCTGAGCCAGGCTATACCAATCGCGAAAGCCGTGTTTCCAATCTTGAGACCCTCTTCACTCGATTTCAGGTAGTCTTTGAGGTCTTTGTCGGCATTCAAGTCACCGAATGCTTCTCCCAATCCTACATGACTGATTACGTCCAATGTAAAGAAGGGGATCTTCTGAGCTAGATCCATGGCCTGGGATGGTTTCGTTGACGCTTTTGGGGCCGCATACTTGCGCACCAAATTCACAAGTTCTTTCACATGGATGTCTATTGAAGGCTCTAGTGTTGGATTCTCTTTGCCAGAGTACTGCAATACGTTAGTAAGTGCAGATCGGTCACGCAGCTGCTCAAATTTCCGCTAGAGGTGCGCAACCTCATCATCCAGATTGTGTATCCACGTACCCCGGCTGTCATCTTCTTCCGTCTGGCATCATGGCTATCGTTGTCGCAATCTGTAAAGACATTGTCTTTCCCCGTCTCAAACCGAGCACTATGGTAGTACCATGATGATCGCTTATACGGTGAGCGCACGGCATTGATCCGTGCCCAGTATTCTGGGTCTGATGTTATGAGGTGGTTCGGTGCGATCCTGGCAATCGGCCCTTATGAGGAGTATCAGTATAAGGCCACCAGATCGCGTAGCACTTTTGCCTTCCTGACACGTACCGTACTTCTCGCAAACCTCGCCGTAGTACCTAGGAGATTGGCCACCGATAACAGCTCTGGAATGCCACAGCCAAGAGAATCCCGTCGTCCTGGGTCCGGCGAAATGTCTCAGACGCAAGTACTGTCGTATGCGGCCGATAGCGAAGAACGCCACAGCGACGAATGCGATGGCGTACAGGCGCTGTGAGACGCTGTCAAGCAATGACTCGGGCGGAACAGACTCCATGGCTTGCCTGAAGTGATGTCAGAGCGCAAGGATTTGAAGTTGCAAATGATGAATGGGAGTTCTTCCCATCAGTGGGGCAACCCTTCGTGAAAGCGCGGGCGCCGTTGTGCGCTACAGAAACTAGCGGAGAGCGTTGCTGCAAGCTCCTATTGAACCATTGTTACTGGCCCTGATCGGTCAAGCACCAATTTGGAGGATTGGAGAAGATGCGGAGCTCGCAGCTGCATGGTGACCAAGCCATGAGTTGTCAATGCCTACCTCGGTGTGCCCCACCAACGAGCAACGTTTGACGGAAGTCATGGCGACATCTGGAACCAAGTCCAATCCCTCACAGAGGATAGCGGGAACCGGAGTGGTTTGCAAGCGCCGCGGCACGTCAAGACTGCTTGCGCTAGCGTCGTGTTGTTGATTGTCAAGGTTCCCCAGCTGAGCGATTGAGGCACGCAACAAGCTGATAGGGCAAGTTAGTACAGCAGCAATGCAGCGTCAAGTGACTCAAGTCTCGTCTTACACGAAGCAGTAACCGACTCTTGATGTTTTCGCAATCAAATCTTGTCCGATCGCGAAACTTACTCCAGCGAATCATTCGGTGGAGAACACTCCGGTCGAAAACAGGCTACGATGCGTCGTGTCGAGCCTGCAGGAGACTCCCGCGATCTCGGTCCACAACCACGTTTTTGCCCTTGTATGCACGTTGGCGTGAAGCACTTCGGACCTCAGCGCCAGTTTGTTCTAGCCCTGTGGAGAGGCGCACCTTGATCGTGTTACTGTCTGGGCAGGGTCTTCGTGACGGCACCTGCCGTTATTAACCACTCCTTCTTCTCTTAGTTGTTGTCTTGAACTTTTCCGAACTTTTTCCGCCCGTCTGAAGTCATTCGAGACCCATCAAACGACGTCATAGTGGTTTTTGTATACTCGCTTATCTATTTGCCCCATTTCGTTCCGTGCCGTTGATGTACGATTGAGGCACAGTCGCGGCTATTGTCTCTGGCTTTGATAGCCGCGCTAATAGTCGCTCGAAGAACTTTTGAAACATACAAAACTTGTGCCGACCTATTTGCCATTGGCGGAGTGGTTCAGCTTATCGAGTGAAACACAATCTCTACGATGGCAACTCTTGGAAAAGGGAAAGAGAAGGCAATTGAGATCGAGTCAGCAACAGCATCATCTGACAATACAATCTCTGGAGATGGCTCCACGAACGTTGCGCCACAAACTGCCGGGGCAGCGTCACCACTGAAAGACCTTACTGCATCATCTGACGCACCAGAAGAAGCGACCACCTCGCCAGATCCAGCGGAAGCATCTGATAGTCAAGCAATACCAACGGGGCTTCCCTCAGAAACAATGGAAGGTCCTGCACCAACAGCGGAAGTTGTCAACCCACTTGTATTAGTTGTAAGTATTCCAAACTCCCCTTCACATAGTTTGATCATTCATACATGATGCGCCGCGGAACAAACGTCGCAACCCAGTATTTCTCAAGAAACTTCTAACATCAGCAGGATAGTACAGACGCCGACTCGGCTCTAGGCGACGATGACGCTGCAAGCGACACAACGTCCATTGCGTCAACCATACATAAAGGTCGTTTCGAAAACGGCCGCCGTTACCACAAGTACCGTGAGGGCGAAAATGATTACTGGGGTCCCAACGATGAAATCCAGAACGATCAACTCGACATCGCGCACCACATGTTTCTAATCATGCTGAACCAGAAGCTGCATCTGGCACCTGTCAAAGAGCCAAGGAAGGTGTTGGATCTGGGATGCGGAACAGGGATATGGTGTATGGACATGGCCGACGGTGGGTCTTTTGCTCTTCCTCTCTTCATCTCCAATAACTCCGACAATTTCTCTCTCTAAGATATTATGACTAACCCAATACCCAGAATACCCCGGCGCCGAAATCCTCGGCGTAGACCTCTCCCCCATCCAACCGCAATTCACACCTCCCAACTGCAAATTCGAAATCGACGACGTCACCCTCCCATGGACATACACCCAGCCCTTCGACTTCATCAACATCCGCTCCTTATACGGCTCTATCGGCGACTGGCCAGCACTGTATGCACAAGTCTACAACAACCTCGAGCCGGGCGGCTACCTCCACGAAATGGAAATGAGCATCCAGTTCAAATCCGACGATGGCACGTTGACCAAAGAACACGTCTTGTCTCAGTGGAGCGATCTCTTCCATGAAGCGTCCGAGCGATTCGGGAAATCTTTCTACGAGGTTTGGAATTTGTCAACGTATATTCGTAATGCGGGTTTCAAGGATGTCGAAGAGCGGGTGTACAAGGTTCCGGTCAATGGGTGGCCAGCTGATCCGCATATGAAAGAGTTGGGTAGGTGGAATTTGTTGCACATTACACAAGGAGCGGAGGGCTGGGGACTGTATCTGCTGACGAAAGTCATGGGATGGTCGGTCGAAGAGGCTCAAATATTCTTTGCTAAGTTCAGATCGGGGGTGAAGGAGAGGAAGGTGCATGCGTACTTTGAAGTCGTGGTGATTCATGCGAGAAAACCTTGAGAGGGTGGAGATGACAGCGTCTACATGATTAATGCATTTCTGCGTAGTTAAGACACCGGGATACAGTGCGGAGAGTAGGACCGCAAATTGAAATGATAGCGTCATGATGCGTCGTCGATTAAAGTATTACTTAAAGCCAGGGTATACGCATAGGGAATATCAATCTGAACCAAATACCTCAGCTTCATCTCCGCTCCTTCACGGAGTCTACTTGCGATCAAGAGGTGGAGTGGCTGTGCGGGGTACCTCTCCCGATTTTGGATCGGGAAGATGCGACACACTCGGGAGATCAGCTACCGACGCTGACTGTTCTTCCTCCTTCTCTTTATTGTCTTTGATGATGAGTGGCTCTTGAGGCGGAGAAGCAGGCGTTATCTTCCCGCTGTCCCTTGTCTTCGCCTTTGACTGGTCACCAAAGATGGAGTCGGTTTCCTCGTTGATGGAGGAGGCGCTACTAATACGTCCAGCTTGACCGTCTTCAGCAGCGAGGCGCTCCTTCTCGAGACGGGTCTCGCGACCGCGCTTGTGGCAGTACCAGAATACGAATAGCAGTACTAAATAGAGTCAGCCTGTGGTCCAAACGCGATACGAACATGATACGTACCGAATACTGCCAAACTCATGATGACGTTGGTTCCAGTTGCCAGAGCAGGGAACCTGAACTTCAGGAAGTTCACAATGCTCCTCAGTGCCGTTGCAACAGCACCTTGAGCGGACACCAGCGACTTCAGACTCGGTACTTTTGGCACTTGGGGCAGCATAGACCTCTTGCCCTTGGGCTTGCTGGAAGCCTGTGCATCGAACCCTGGCTTCTCGGACGACGCAGCCATGAGCTCTGGGCCGAGAGTGGCTGTGAGCTTGGCAGGCAAACTCTTGACCAGGTTCTGCAGGAAAGGCGGTAGGTTGCCGTACATCTTCTTGAGTTGGTTGTCGTAATCTGTGAAAAGCTTCTCCAGATCGTTGTAAGCTGTAGGAACCCCGTTTATGAGATCTTTGAGGACCTGCGTGAACTTGTTGAGAAGTTCCTCCGACTCTTTGCTGAAGCTGAAGACGCGGTTGTTGACAGCTGAGAGGTTGAGCTGATCCAGAATATCCGTCAATTCCTTGTCCTCCTTCTGCGCATCGGTGAGCTCGGCAGCCTTGGCGGACTCGGCGGCAGCGAGCAGGTCGTCTGCAAATTGGGTCCTGTCCTTCTCCGTGACCACGATCTTCTTGTCTTTCGAGGCCTTCTCCCCGTCCTTCTTGGCGAACTTGGGCAGCTGGAAGTAGGACATGACACTCTTCTTCCTACCCAGTCCACCCTCAGCGGCCTTCCCTTTGCCCTTGTCGCTAGCGTCAGCAGTGGTCTCGGGTGGACTCATGGGGAGCGGCACTTTGTCTGCATTATCCATGAGGGCTGTTTGCGCATCCCTGCCGACCTTCTTCTCGCCATTATCGTCGACTATTTCGGTACGCTGAGGGAGAGGTGGGGGCGTGCCTTCGGGCTCCGCGGCGATGGCGGCAAGTCGCTCAAGAAATTGCTGGTCTTCGGCGTCAAGAACAGGCTCGCTTCCTACTTCTTCGCTGGCGTTGGTGACAGTTGGTGCCGGTGGAGAGGGTACGGGGCCACTGGGGCCAGCAGCGGGTTCTTCGATCTTTGGGACGGCAGCATCCTCGACTTTCGGTACGGCGGATTCCGAGACTTTGGGGGGTTCTTCGATGGGAGGGGCGCCGGGTTTCTGTTTTGACTGAGGGAACAGCTGCTTTGACTGGCGGCGCACTTTCTCTAGATAGGATGCCATATTGGATGTGCGCGTCTGCCTTGGGTGTTGGTGGCAGGTACGGGTGTGATGAGAAACGCGTTAGGAGATTGGGCGTTTGTAGGATATATGTCGCACTCTAGATTTGACGTGGAATGCTTGGTGGCGATCTTCCAGGCTCGGCGGTGCTCGCTATGTCGTCGTCGTCGGCGCTGTAGAGGCCCTGATTTGATGTCCCGCGTTTACACGTGCTACGTCATCGGCAGGGGTGCCGATCTAGAGCTCGCGCCACGCCACGGGAGGCGACTAGCGCGACTCCTGACTCCTCCACCGCGACCCGTCAAACCTCACCCCGACAGCACGAGATTGGAAAGAGTCTGGAACACGTCAATTCCTGATAGGATCTGGATGCAAACTCTCGGCAACCCTCTTCACAGCTTCGGTCGCTGATATCCCGACATCCTCTGCAAAATTAGCCTTCGACGAATCCGCCACTGCAAACAATCGCCATGCATGCCTAAGCATTGCACTCGGAGAGGTCTACCTCGATTTGGAAGACGTCGTATACTTACAATCGCTAGATTAATATCTCTTGGACCGTTCGGATCATATAATAATAGTCTCGATCGTGCCTCTAAACTCCGTCGGAACTACATACACCTTCTGACTTCCACTACTACGTAGTGGCAGTTCCTCTTAGTCGGGATTTGACGGTCAAAAGCTGTTGCCATCATGTATCGTCCGAATCAATGCAATGGATTACTTGACCTCCAACCTGCTTTCGGTCCACTGGTTAGCGAGAACGGAAGTAGGCGTTTAATAACTATAGTACGATGGATGGCATATCATCCACGCGCCGATCATTCCTGGCTTCGAGGTTCCTTCAGAAGATGCGCTTGTTTCCGATCCATACGTGGATTCGCTTGCTTATGTCAATATCTGAATATCGAGGGACCGGTCACCGCAGCACAGCACAGCTCCCGAATCAAGCGATGACGTTAGTCACGCACCCTCAATGAGCGATATTGCGTAAACCTCAGGGCGGTTGTCGCGATTATTCACATGTTTTGGTTTGCCTCCTGATTACTCTCAAGCTGACCAAATCCGAGCATTCAAGGAGAGCACTTCCATTAGTAACGGGGAACTACACCTCATTCATGTCTTAGATATCAGATATCATATCGCAAAGCTGCATTCTCACCACCGTCCCTCTCTCTTACATATAGGTAGCCTGGAGGACTCGCAATCACGTGCTTTCGTTGACCACGTCTACCGCCCGCACTCCGCCCCACCCCGACTATATAAGCAGTATATCACTTCATTCCTCCATCTTTCCTCCACCATATTGATCGTCCACAATAACTCTGAAGTAAGTCAATACATTTCTTGTCTGCGCGAATTATCTGCTTTGGGCTCACTGAAGCCTCCGGCCACACACCGTGCGCAATCGGACTACCCACCTTTACCTTTGGCGCCTACAGTGGGCTAACGTGTTTGTTCTTTTGCAGCCCCGACAGATTACCCCGCGGTGCTTCAGTACACCGAAACGATAAAGCCCGTCACGCAATCAATCACTGTGTCGCGCTTCACAGTACCGACACTACACATATCACCTCCGTACTCATCACTGTAGTCCGCAACATGGCTAATGACGCCTTCAACTTCTACGGTAAGTACTGTCATGATTCTCCTGTCTGCGCAGTTTCTAACAAGAAACTATAGGCGACGAGTCAGACGACGCGAAGCCCGTTCAGAACGACTTGGACGACTTGAACGACGCAGTCGGCAGTGCTAGTGGTGAGGACGACGACTACATCGAGGACGCTGCTCAAGCAGCTGACGATGTAAGTATACAACTTGCTCATTCTGATATCGCTAACTTGAATAGTCCGATGATGGCGACTTCAAGCTCGATGGCTATGAAGATCTTGGTATCCCAGAAGAAGAGGTCGAGGACGAGGTAGACGACTACGATCCTGAGTACGACGACAACATGACCGGTCAGAAGCGCAAGCGCGTCCGAACCAACAACGCCTCCAAGACCAAGGGTCTTCAGCGGTCCGTCATTGGTGTCCCAACTGGCGACGCTGAAGCTTTCATATTGGATGAAGACAACAGCTTCCTCTACAGCAAGCCTTCGCGCAAGCCCGGTACCTTTGGCCGTCATGATCGTCGCAAAGGCGAGAGTCTTCCAGCTTATCACAAGCGTGTCACTCACGAGCTGGACTCTGACGACGAACTCATGATGACGATGCGTGAGAAGGGCTTCAGTGATCGCCAGATCGCCGACAAGCTTGCCAAGGATGGCCGTGTTCGCTACGACCAGAAGTCCATCTCCACGCGCATCATGCGCATCCGCCTTGCTCAGTGTGAGAACGTCGACTTCCTACTAAAGGAGGGATACAAGGAGTGGGAATACGCTGATGTAAGTGCCTGGTCAAGTGACACCCCCTTTTTGATTTGGCTAATTTGAACTTTTAGGATGAACTTCTGGTTCAGTCTTACGCTCTTGCCGACATCGAGGTCAACTACGAGTTGGAGCGCATTCGCGCCTGGCGCTTCCGCAAAGTCTCCGATTACATGCGTCGCCTGAACAAGAACGCACTCTTCTCTACCAAGGCCTGCCGTAACCGTTACAATGAACTTGTCGAAGGTACAGCCCGCATTCCTACCGATATGGACGACGACCCCGACGCCCGCCGTATGGATATGGAAGAGTACCGCATGATGCGTGAAAAGACCCGTATCAAGGAGCAAGCCGACAAGGACGCCCTGGAAGCTGCGGAGGCTAAGATCAAGAACGACGCCAGGGTACTCAACGCTCAGAAGGCAGAGGAGATCGCAGAGAAGCGCCAAGCCAAAGAGCAAGCAAAGGCTCATCGCGCCATGACCCGTGCAGCCCAAGCCCAGATCCGCCTTGCCCGAGCCAACGCGAATAGGATCTCGAAGACTCAGCGCAACACCCAGATCAAGGGCAAAGCCCAGGAAACAAAGAAGAGCGAGGACGCCTCTCCAGCCCCGACCAAGACCAAGACCAAGAAAGTAGACCCCAACTACACCGATCCGCGTTCTTACCTCTCCTTCCTTGATCTGAAGAAGATTTGTGAGAGTCGTGGTGTTGATCTTCCGCGCAGGGTAGACAAGGACACCCTGCTGCAGGCTATAGTTGATGCTGATGACGAGTACAATCAGAACGAGCTCAAGAAGATGTGTCGCTCCAAGGGCTTGAACGCCAACACCAGTAAGCTGGTGATGAAACAGTCGCTGGCGTTGGCTTCGGCAAAGGCTTGTGACTCGTACGATGCAGGACTCGCCGCTGCCAATGGCACTGCCATTGCTACTGTTGAGGACGACGGTGACGATGAGATGGACATGGAGGAGGAGTAGGTGGGGGCGAGGCGACTTCACGGTATTGAACATGGAGGAATGTGGGACTAAAAGTGGTTTGACTCCCGTCACGGCGGACTATGAATGAAGTGCCTAGGCACAGTGGATGGGATGTATGCCTCAGGGTAGGATGAAAAGTGGGAGTTCACGGTTAGATAAAGATACTTATTCTCCAAACAATGAGATCATCATGGAACGAAGTCTTTCATCAAAATTAGAGTGTGTGAACATCGTGAAACCTCTACCAACACTCCCACTTCTGACCACCCATAGCCACAAGCCGATTGAACAACTCGTCTCTCAATGGAAGCGCCATTATGCGGTATTCGTTGAGCTGCCTGTCAGTAATGATCAATCCATCAGCGACCTCGCGTCCCATAGCCCATCCAACAACCAACTTCGCCTTCCAGCCAAAGCCACCGACCTTCTTCATCTCCATGATTTCTCCAACAGGTAAACTCCAGGACGGATGCAGATCCTCTCTATCTGCGCTACCAATCTTCTCGATAGTCTTGTCTGTGGAAAAGGCGATAGATGGAATCGTGGACTTGGTAGCGATGTACACATGTCCTTTCTTGCCATCATGTCGGGCTTTGAATTCGACCGGACCGGATGTGAGATCAACTCCCCTGCGTGGTACAGCACCCAGCCTGTTCTTGGCATGGGTGGAGCCGGCGGCAGCTTTGACTTTGTCAGCTGTCATGGTGGTCTCGACGCCGCCCTTGACAGTGCCGCGGAAGAAGTTGAGAATCTTAGTTCCCTTCTTGCCATGCTTGCTGTCTTTGGCTTGGTCGATATCTTCGCCGCCGGTTTCGTGCGCAGTAGTAGGGTCGTGGGCCATAGCTTCATCGAGTTCTTCTTGTGTTGCGTTCAGTGGCCAGTCGGCACCTGTGGCGCGCAACTCTTCCTCGTTGATATCGACGGGCTTCTCTTCTGGTGCTTGCGCTACATGAGGCGGCGGTGGCAGTGGCGCTTTATTCGCTTCGCCAATTCTGAGAAGAGTAACGGTGAGTTGGGCGTTGGTAGGTACACCCTTGAGTAGCGTATTACGGAGCTCGAGCAGCTTTTGCCAGTTAGGAAACTTCTTGTCAAGAAGCGCTAGTCCTCGCTGTATGACAGGGTCACCAAAGAAGCCGAAGCCAGCACCAAAAGTGACACCCTTCATGAACATGTACGATGTTACAAATAGTGACACAAGAACGAGCGGTGCCACTACGACTGCGAGTCGAAGATGAGACCTGTTCTTTGGGAATGGGGGAGTTGGTTCAAGCATACTGTGATCATGTCAGTAATTCCAGGTAGACACTGATAGACGGTTGCTTACTTCGCGAACCGCTCCCATGTGTCTGTGACATCTGCGATACCGTGCATAATAGGCCTCATCTTCGTCCACATGGCAGTCTCCATGGGAACTTTAGTCTTGTCGTGGTGCTTGCTGGGCTTGGCGCCAGCAGCCTGATCCCTTGCATCCGCAGCACCGATGGCGAGCCTAGTAGGGTCCGGTACACTACTATCAGGAGAGTCTTCATCTGGAGGCTCTCCCTGTGGGTGCTTGCCAGTCGCGCTCGATAGCGCTATCGACGCAAAGCCGTTGACGAAATTGGAAGCCTCTTGCTCAACAGCCTCACCCTTGTGATTTTCAGGTGCTCCAGTAGCACTGTCTGTACTGCCTAGGGTTCCAGACTTTGGCTTCTGAACACCTCCCGTAGAGCTGACAAGAGCGATAGGTGCTGGTGGGAACATGGCACCGCGAGCCGGGGGGTAGACAATGAGCGTAACCAAAGTCACCGTTATCAAGGGCACGATCATGTCGAAAATCCAGGCGGCAAAGTATGCGGAGCAGAACCATGCAGTGCGACGCGTCTCTCTCCATGAGCGGATGCGAACGATGTGCTTGCCGAATCCGATTAGACCGATGCCCTATGTGCGGTTAAATCGAGCGCGTTCGTTGCTTACTCTCCAAATGCTTACTATAGTCATATACAAGCGTTCGATATTGGCGCGAAGCTTGTCTGGCGAGAACTCTTCCTCATCCGCGATGTTCATGTCCAAGCCCCCAGGAGGCGCTGTTGGAATCTCTTTAACATGGTACATTTGCTACTCACTGTCAGTATCCGATTATAGGGTTGCAATTACACCTTGCTCTCACCTTATTGAAACGTCGGACCAACAGCCACAAGTCCTCGTTACCCAGACCTCCGACGAGCGGCTTCGCGACGAGTTCCTTGGGCTCATTCCATCCAAGGTCCACCACTTCATCTCCGTGAGCTATCTGCGCTGCACCCTTCTCTTCCGGAGGCGCTGACTTAGCAGCCTCTAGAGCTAGCGCATGGCTCTCCGTAGGCGCATTCCGTAGCGTGGTAGACTTCCCCTCATGTTCTGTAGGATCTGTATCCGGGATAGGCAAGAGGTCCTTGTAGACCACACCTCCGGTCGACATGTTGACGTTCAGTATTAGGCGTCAGATGTGCGTAGGTGTGGATGTATCGAGGTCAAAGGTAAAAAGAGGAGGGTAGCCTTGCAATGTATTGGCCTTCATACGGCAAGAAAGACGCGTAGGGCCGCAATTGCCCTCTACGTCATGTACGCACTAACGACGGCAAGCCACTCGCATCAGTGGCGATCAGAAGCCGCGGGACGCTAGTTTGGAGCCTTAACTTCAACACCGTTGAAGCTCGTAACTGTGCGCTAAATGCTAGCACTCAAGTTTTCATCGTGCCTCTGCATACACCTCACCGCGTTGTCTTGATGCTTTCCCAAAGTCTGGGTGAACGTGTGGAGCTGACAGGATCTATGGTTTCGAAGACCGCGGAAAGCGATCATGATCGCCAAACCCCACCACATCTGGCCTCCCGTGTTTTCCCTGCTTCGATCCTTTCCAAATCAGGTGCACCATGCCTCTCTGGGCCCAAGGCATGCCAAAAAGGTGGTGCGCAGTAATTTTGCAATGACTGGAAATGAGTGCTGGTGCCGTGTTGCGCGCCAACATTCATGGGTGGGTCTGGGTGCGTGACGTCATCGATCGCCTGGATGCACGCAGCGGAGCAGTGAGTTGACCTATAGTAGAAAAAGCTTTCAGTGTCTTTACCACAAAATTTGCGTGTAATGGCTGGTGCTTTGAGATGGATTCAGGACTTCCTTGTTCAAAGGCCACAAGAGATCGTCCAACACCACCACGAAAGAGACACTGCACGCGACCCGCAATTGAAGAGTTGTTAAACAAGCAAGGCATTCGACTAACGGCCGCGCTAGATGTCTATATCTACATGACAGCGGACATTAATGTCTGGTGATGGGAAGCGACACTCATGCGCAACATTATCCATCATGATTTCCTGAATTTATCCATCAGGCCTTGCTCGTACGTTACCGTGGTCGAAACCATGATGCCATCATGCTTCGCTCTTAATTCCTCCTGGCTACTATGCGCGCCAGCCCAGTATAACTCCGCCAGTCCCTGCTCAAAGATTGGCTTTGAAGGCCTGTTGTTTCCACTTGGTCTGAGCTCCAATCTACTCCCTTTGCTTCTGTCCGCGAAGCCATCAGTCTGTCTTCGGTAGCCGCGCGAATCGTAAGAGGTATTGAAGCGGAAAGCGTTGATAAGAACGGCGAATGCGGGGCAGCAGCCAATGATGACAGCTGGAACAAGATTAGTGATTGTATGTAATGGTTTTTGTCCCGACATACCAATGGAACACTCCACCATGCCCCAGATAGCGTGCCAAGTGGGATCAAGTGGTTGGCCTGCAGCCTCGGGCTTTGATACGTTGATCGCAACTTGCGTGACTCGGAGACAGGCGAAGAGGATACAAACGACACCCGTTGCGAAGAGACACAAGATTGATATTTTCTTGCTTCGTGGCATCTGGAGATTCCAGGTGAGCCATGTTGGAAGCGCCATAACTATGAAAGCCGACAGTCAGCAGATAGAACAGGCTTGTATAGATGCTATACGACATACTCATCATATTTGTTGAAGTATCTGCGGCAAAGGAGTAGTACAGGCTGATGAGCTGGGTGTGGTGCGGACCTTCGCCAGTCTAGAGCGGGATGTGGTTAGTAGGTAGCCCAGCATGTATCGTGTGCACAACAAGGACTTACACATCCTCCTGTCCAGAAGCCCGGTATGGTACCGCATGACTGAAAGTAGAAAACGTAATTGCCAGCAAAAGTCTGTCTCCAACGTCAGCCGTCGTCCAAGTGAGTGCTACCAAAGTCTGCACAACTGTGATATCTTACCACTAAGCAGATTCCAGCTATGCACCACCACACAAAGGTCCAGCGCGGAGATATGCCATTCAATAATCTCCGATAAAGCAGCAGCAAAGATAGTTTGATCGACCACAGCACTGCCCAAAACATGCAGAAGGCAATGAACACCATTTTCGCCATCATCATGCTATCATGCCGCAAGTCTGGATAAGGCGGAATTTCTCGATTCGAGACGGCATATACTCTCTGCATATAGGGAGACAATGCAATGTAGAGAGCGCACATCGTCACATAAATGGCGAAGGCGACAAATACAAAGTAGTCAGAGGCTGTCAGCCTTCTCGGCCGGATGACGTTGAGACCAATCCTCGCAAGGACAACTGAGCTGGTCAAGCCAAGCATAGAGTATGCGACCTTCAGCACTGTTCCCTGGGCGAAACCGTTCGTTTTTGCGGACATCGTTGCTGATATGGTGTGAACCGGAAGTAAACAAAGATAACAAGGATACAATGGAGAGTATCGGTCATTGATTGTCGGAGCAAGCTCCGAGACGTGATAGTTATTCGATATCATTGTCGTGTCAGTGCATGCGAGCATGCGGCGTAAGACCACCCCCAGGTTTCGTGTCTACCGGCAGAGGGGATCACATTGACCAAAGGGCCATGACCAATTTCCAGCACCGGATCTACAATCGCTGATTGCTTGATGGTAGTCAGGGGTAGGCAGGGCTATCCAAGATCTCGCTGTTGTAAATTTAGTATACCTCCCTCGAACTTGCTCTTGCATGTTGACAGCAGCGTGGACTTGTCCATGACCGAGTTAATAAGGTTGGTCAATTCTGGAAGAACGACGCAGAGTAAGAGCCATGCACCAAAGATACACGTTCCCCTCCTGTACAAGAGTAGGGTAAGATGGATAGCGCACAAGACTCTCAGTGGATGAATAGTGGCACTGGAGATGTCGCTTGCGCCTGCCGAATTCCGTGCCGTCGCTGTTCTACTCGCCTGCCTCCGGAGCATAAAACGCTTCTATGACACTGCGGTTCGTTTCGCTTGCGGCAGATCTAGATGCAGGTGTTATCGGGTAGAGCAATCCCTTTGCCAAGACAATGGATGAGTTGACGCGGAGTGGCGTGCAGGTGCCACCAGGCACAGTGCTGGAGGGCGCGGCGCGATCTAGCGCTTATTCAGCATCCGTGCGGCCCACTCTCCCCGAAACATGGGCGTGACGGGCTGGCAGGAAGGGTTGCCCTTCAACTTTCATCTGGCCTACAATGTGCCCACCTTCTTTCGATAGGCACGCTACCTGTGCGCAACAACCAGAGCGACAGGTCGGATTGAAGCCGGCGATTTGAGCGCCAATTACCTAGGACGCGTAGAGGGTGCTTCATCTACCACATTGCATCTCGCTTCCATTCATGCTTAACTAGGTACAGACAGCAAGCACTCCATCGCGTACGCGAGAATGGACTCGCATCTGCGTGTTCCATCGCACAAGCTCCTGCACATGCGCGTACCTGCACGCGACTCTTCTTGAGCCAAAGCTCCGAGATTGAAGTATGCTCATTCGCCTCAGGCAGCGCCACCTCTTCGATGCAGGTTCCACGGCAGAACCGAATTGCGGCACGGTATGCGGCTAAGCATCGTTTTCATACTGCGGCGCTTCTAGACAACAAATTATGATCCTTCGGATTCCCTTGAAGTCGCAAAGCGCAAGGAGACGTCTGCCCAGGTAAGGTTGCTAAACGACGCGCAAAACCAATGTTTTTTCAGCAATAAATAGCTCTGGAAAGCTCCAGCTTCTTTCCACCGAACCTACAATCCAAGCCCAACATGAAGGCTTCGTTCCTTGCCATACTTGGAGCCCTCGCTGGCAACGCAGTCGCCCAGGACGCCTTCGAGCCTACTGACTTCAACGTCACGGAGGCCCTCTTCGCCAATGGCGTCAATGTCTCTGCTCTTCCCGACTTGGCTGCTTTGGTCGAGAAGCGCTCACTCTCTAGCCCATGTACCGCCGCTGTAAGGAATCTGTAACGTCGCTTGTGTACAGGACTCCAGCTAACATGCTCATCAGTGTAGCTCACTAAAGCTCATCTTCGGAAGCAAGCTACTTTCTAGCGGTTCGGAATCCTACGATACCTTCACGAGCGGATACTGGTCCAATCAGGCAGCCTCTGTCAACCCAGCCTGCGTTCTCCGGCCTTCGAAGGCGATCGACGTATCGACGACGATATTGGTATCCCGCCTCACACAATGTCCCTTTGCAGTCAAGGGTGGAGGACACACCGCGTTCCCAGGCGCGTCTAGCATTGAGGGTGGCATAACCATTACCATGGAGGCGATGAACGAGGTCACACTTTCCCGCAACAAAAAGACTGCATTTATCGGACCCGGAAACCGATGGGGGGCAGTATATACAAAGCTTGGAGAGCACAACCTCGCTGTCATTGGTGGGCGCGCATCAGATGTAGGCCTCGGTCTTGTTCTTGGTGGCGGCATCTCCCACCAGTCCAGTATCTACGGATACGCATGCGATAATGTTGCGTCTTACGAGGTTGTAACTGCATCGGGAATTATCTTGAAGGTCACGCCAACTCTGTTCCCTGATCTGTATTGGGCCCTTCGCGGAGGCGGCAACAACTTCGGTATCGTTACAAGATTTGAGCTGGAGACAATTCCCCAGGGTTTGATGTGGGGCGGCACCCGAGTTCATACGCAGGCCAGCTACCCAGCGCTGATCGACGCTTTTGCATCAATGGCTGAGGGCGCTACCGAAGACCCGAAATCAGCCCAGATCCTGTCATTTGCTGTGACAGCGGGCAACGCGGCAGCCCAAATCCAACTGGAGTATCTCGAGCCCGTTGACGAAACCAACCCACCTGCTATTCTGAAGAAGTACCTTGACATCCCTCCACTCATGGCAAATACTTTGAACAGAACCTTGGCAAACGACACGGTCATGCTCACCAACCAAATGCCCGGAGGCCGCCGCTATGCATTTTGGGCAGCCACATACAAGCTCGACAGGGAGTTCATGGCCTGGCTGCAAGCCCGTCACGAGAAGGACGTAGGCCCGCTAGCGGACCAGGGCGCTCTGGCGTTCCAAGCCTTCACCGTGCCGGCTATGGAGCAGATGAGCAAGAAGGGCGGCAACGCACTTGGTCTCTCCCCCGCCGACGGTCCACTCATGCATACTCTGCTTTACGTGGTCTGGGACGAAGCGTCCAAGGATGAACAGCTAAACAAAGCCGCACTGGACTTGATGAACGCCGCCAAGGCTGAGGCGAAAGACCGGAATTTGTACACCGAGTTCATCTACCTCAACTATGCTGGACCGTACCAGAACGTGGTTCCGAGCTACGGAGACGAGAAGCTGGCTAAGCTCAAGTCGATTGCGAAGAAGTACGATCCCGCTGCTGTCTTTCAAAAGCTGCAGCCTGGTGGGTTCAAGCTTGAGGGTGCGCCCTACGGGGAGACTATCTAGACGCGAAATTATCTAGCATAGAGCTGATCAGTCTACAAAATCTGGAGCGTACGAATAAGTTTTTGGATTGAAGCATGATGCGATGTATTCGATAGGACGTACACTCATGATGTGCGCCCAATATGAACGGCCTTTCGTCCGAGTATTACATTCACGCTCAGCTGCGACCCATCGCTGTGCTAAGCCATCGATTGTGCAGCATGCCACCTCGCTATTATCTGCCAATTTGGGCTATCGTCCAGAGCCAGGCAGCTCTTGAGGTCTAATTGGAACACCAGGCAATTCCACAGGCTTTTGCGGTACCGGAGCCTCGTGCAGGAAAGCATCCTGGGTAGGAGCCTCGTGCCTATACTCTGATGACAATTCTCCTTTGACTGGCTCGTAGTAGGTTGTCATCTCTGCAGTTTCCTTTTTCTTCTTATATGACCGTCTTCCGATAAAAGCACCCAAAGCAAGCAGCGCGATGACACCAAAAGCGGCACCCACACCAATCCCGGCTTTCGCGCCTGTCGATAGGCCACCACTATCGTCATTCGGTGGTGTTGTAGTGGGCGATGGGGTTGAAGTGCTCGAGGGGCTGGACGAGCTCAATGGCATCGAGGTGCTTGTAGACGACGCGATCGAAGACATCGAAGAACTCGAGATTATGCCCAGGAACACACGATCGACCTTTTCCTTCCCAAAACTAGCATCGTCACCACAGCAAGCGGTTGAGTTGCCACAGCACCAGTACTCAGACGAATCGGTACCATCACAGGGAGTGACATTCACGTCTCCACTTCTTTGATTTGGCTGTGTGTAGATGTAAGCTTTCATAAAGCCAAAGTGTAGGGCGCGATCGTACTGTGTTCGTACATAGTTCCTGGCAGCCTCCGGCTTCCCAGTCCGACAATGTACAGGACTCTCTAAAATAGATGAAGTTATTGTCTCCAGTGCTAGCCCTGCATAGGCCGTTCGGAAGACAGCTGTCCCAGCCTCCCTCGCCATTGACTACGTTAATGTTGCAACAGATGTGGCTGAGTGGGTCTGAAGTGTCGTTGGAGCAGGGCTGGTACTGGGGATTTGGTTGCCCGCCGTCGCGCCAGTAACAGCTTTGCGCATAGACTACTGTGATGGAGGAAGAAAAAAGGAGAGCTTTTGAGAACATCCTGTACTAAGGTTGAGATCAGATGGATCTGCAAGGCGGAGGAGCAGGCGCATGGCCATCCTAGTGCGAGGGGGGACCGAGGTTAGTTATAACGGGATTACCGCTGGCAGGTGCTTCTATACTTATCAAGTTAGTTGGTGGAGGATCTTTGGGGCCAGGCGTTTATCTCATCTTAGGCCCTGTCGTGGCTGTGTAACGCGTGCGGTGAGTGGTTGCCAAGCGATAGGGCGAAACCTGGGCAATTTGGGGGCGGAAAACCCGCGTTGGCGGCTCCAAAAAAAAAAAGGTCTTTTTGACAAAAACATACAACAGCGCGTATTCCCCGGTGGTCACCCACCCGAGTACTAATGCGCCGTTATCTTGCTTAAGTATCGCTGAGCGAACGGGAAGCGCTGGTGTCAAGATCCTATGGTCGTATGTGACAGAATTGGCTTTTCTGCGAGATATATTGTCGGTGGCCGTATTAAGTTCGCCAAAACGCCGCAGTACAGCCGCAACATCCATTGTGTAATACAACCGTCCATACATCAACAGAGCATGTACTTGGAAACCACTCTTTTCGGATCCCTCGCTTCCATTTGAGCCAGAGCTTCGCCGTGCATGTACCCGTCGATATAGACGTCACCCACGTACCTATACTCGTTGCGACGGCCCTCCGGGCGGAGCAGGATAGGTGTGGAGCAACCAAACGGAACGACAACAATATCCTTCGCTGTCATGTAGCCCGAACCCATACCAATCAAGCCGCCTGCTGTAATACACAGGCTTCTTCCCATCATACGGTTGCCGAAATGGTCTTGCAGGAAAGTGCGCCGTGCTTTGGGCTCGATGAGCCCGGTCGTACTCACATGGCGCTTGAGATCTTCGTCCATAGGTAAGCGAGGCATTCTTTCGCGTACCAGAGCTGCGAAGACGTGGTAGCAGAGGTTGTGCCACATATTTGACTGACTCCAGTCTGGCGGTACCTGTCCCAGGCACAGGGTCCTGCAAAAAGAGCTGTGCATTGAGTGGGCATCATTGCCTTCTTCTACGCTGAGTTCATGAAGCAGCATTGCGCGCCATTGCAGAAATGATGTCAGATAGTCTTGAGCAGCGCAAAATGTGCCCACGGCGACACCCGTTGCGGTAACTGTATCAATACTGATTGCGGAGATCTCAAGCTTCCGTCGTTCATCGTGGAACCAGTACCGCGCCTTAGTTGGGCCGTCTGCGTTGCTAGAGGCTGCAAAGTTGAGACTGCGCCCCAGGCCAGAGACCTCCGGAATGTGCGACCAATCCGGACACCAGCTGGGCAGGCCTGTAGAATTGACGTGCAGAGGGAAGTGTATCGCTTCGCGAATCACATCGAGCTTTTCAGTAGTCGAGATCAGGTGGTCGACAACGTCTGTGTAGACCGTCTTGACAGATTGGCTATAGTCGACAGGGAAGTCGCGTTGTGTAGCGTCCGAGAGCAGACCCAGAATGCCGAAAACTTTGTCGCGTGGATTCTCGCTTAACTTCTTCCTGCATGCTCTCATTACCTCTAACAGTGACTCGTCTCCAAGTTGCTTCAAAGCGTCGCGGTCTGGGAAGCTTGATGGTCCTTGGCGGATGTGTGGGTCGCTGTCTCTGCCCCAGAAGACTTCCGCTGCTTTTTGATATACTTCCCAAACGAACGCCGAGGAGCCGCAGTGTACCACCTTATTGTCTGCGAGAAGGACCTCTTGAACAACTTCGTTGTGATCAGTGCGAGATGAAAAGAGGGGGCTATCATCACTTACCCCAAAGTCGCTTCCAGTAGTCTCTCTTGAATAAGTTGAGGAGCGCCAATGAGTCTGGGTTGCGGATGGACTTTATGTACTGAGGGTCAATCGAATTCTCGGCCACTCTCTGGAGTAGTTGTAGTGCTAGAGCACTCTCCTCATATTCAGGTCCTATCCAGATGGCCACTGACACTGCGCCGCTGTAGATCTGACCCATCAATCGAACTTGTGCAGCTCTCTCGTCTTTGTTGTGCTGGTCGATACAGAGAGCATCAACCCATACAAAAATGTCTTCTTTCTTTCGCCGCACCGCTCTCAGTGCATCGTGAAGGCTGACTGCGACAGGAACTGTTGCTCCTTCTAGAATAAGTGGTCTTGTATCAACCCCGTCGCCCCAGGCGTACTATACAAGATCAGTGTTAGTGGGTGTTTTGAGATTGCGGCAACAACTTACCGAGATAGCAGTATATTCTGGGTGGCTTTGGAGCGACACATGAATAATTTCGCATTTCAGCTTCCACATCCTCTCCGGCAGGATCTTAACTAGTCGGATTTCAGAAGGTTGTAATGGCTGATATTGGTATGTTTTCGGACCAAGTACTCCCGAGCTGGGTGATGACGGAGACCATGACAGGATCCTTGAGGAGGCAGTCGAGGTAGCTGAAGTCGATCGCGGTCTTTGCACATCTTCACCTACTCCTGATGTAGAGTCGCCTACAGTTTCAATGTTGGATAGGAACTGCGAGTATGCGGCAGGATATTGGGATATAGAAAGTCGTGGGAGCTTCATGTTTGCATTGAAAGCCCCATTGTGGCCCGATGTGGACGGCCGGCTATCAATCTCATCTTGCCGGATGCGCTCGTCCGAAGTAGATGCCAAGTCCCGTACCCTCGCAGGTAGGGATGTGCGATTGCCACGCGGTATGTTTGTTGGTGACCAGGAAATGCCATCATTAATAACATCTTGAGCACCCGTGCGATTGGTATCCTGGTTGGAAGACGGTCCAGATAGTGTTTCATTGGGTAGCGGTGGTGATAGCGAAGAAAACTTCCTCATAGGTCGAGCATCTCCAGCAGAAAACTTCATCGATGATGCTCTGTTTGCGTGCTCATCATTGAAGCGATGTTCGCCGTACTCTCGTTCTGTAGATCGTACTTGCGTATCCACTTGCACACGGTCATACTCATGGTGCTCGCCATAGATCGCCTTTGCAGATTGTCGGTCGGTTCGCTCAGCTGGTTCGTAACGGTGGGCCAAAGATGCATGGGAAAATCCGAACGGCGTTGGTTTTCGTGCAGGTTTAATGCGCCGCTCTTCTAACAAATCAAACCGATGCTCGCCGTAACCTCTGTTATCTGAGCGACTTCTCTCGTGGTGAGCATCAAGTCTTGTTTGTTGACCTTGCGAGACCCTTATCCTTACCAATTCATCCTCAGTATCGCTAGACGAGTCTTGTTTGCGGCGGTCATGATCCTTTGGGTGGTGCGAAGAGCTGGCGCGATAGCGATCTTTGTCCCCATCATGCCTATGTCGACGCCTTCGCTCGTCATCGGAACGATACCCTCGGTTCGAGGGATTTTGTATTCGCTCATTGTCGCCCGAAGAGGTCTTATGTCGCCTTCTGCGGGTTCGCTCTGCATCGGCGTCCTGGGGTGTGAGATGGTGGCCGTGTGAGTGGCGCTTCGAATCGCGCTGGGGACTGAACATCTTGGGCGGATCACGCGAAATGCGAAATGCAGGGTTTTTTGGGTTGAATTGATGTTCCTGTAGGCTTGTGGTTTGTGGGAGGCTCTCAGGTGGCATTGGGCCTTTACTTAGATCAGGCGCGAACTGCTGCCTTGGTGGGGTTAATGAGTGCCATGGCAGCTCAGCCTCCGCTCGTCAGCCATGGTCAGCTCGCTCCAGCTGGCAGGGATTCGATTGCATAGCCCGGCGGGAGCACACTGGGACGCAATGAGAGAACTACTGGGGAGTATCAGCCTCACAATGCTGGTGCAGTGTCAAGGTGCACATTGGCGTTCGCGAGGAAGTCGCGACTACGAGTAGAAGTGGCGTGTTCTGCCCAGAGTTATTTGGCCCATGGCTGCACACCTGGGCAATGTTCAAGACT